AAAACCATCCCAGCATACAGCCAAGATAATGAACAGGAGCCAGTACCTACCTGCTGAGTTTTATGATGGTGGGTTTTGACTTGAATGTTCGTACAAGTCCTAAGGCCTGCAAATAGCAAATACGTATAACTTTTCCACACCTAGGAAAGCCTCTCCCTGAACCTGACACATTATGTTTAGGAGCATTGGTTGTTTACATTCTGCTGTGCCAGGACCCATCTGCTAAAGCAGCACTTGTCGTAGAAGGTTCTCCTTGGCTTCTGTGGGTTCTAGGAGCTTTCTCTCAAGTCATTTCAATGCTGTGCTTTGGATGACAGGCACTTTTGCTGTATGTGCCTCACAGGGCCGTTCTAGGGTATGTTGCCTAAGAAATTGCCTTATGTGAAATACTAAATTATAACCAGAAAGAAACCCTTCAAATTTATTAGTTATGAAAGCATTTTTCAGCAAGCATTTGTTCCTGTGATTTGTTGAGAGAGCCTGGGTTCAGTGGCCCATGCTTATAATCAACTTACATGGGAGGCAGAGATCAAAAAGTTCAAGGCTAACCTGGACAGAGAGTTAGCGACATCCCCCCTCCCCCCCCCCCCCCCCCGCCCCAGTGCAAAAGCTAGACAAGTTGGTGCATATCTGTCATCCTAGTTACACAGAAGGTGTAAATAGGATTGCAATCCAGACCATCCTGGGATGATTTTGAAAAGGACTGGGTGGATACCTCAAAGGGTAGAAGGATCCGAGACCAAACTCCAGTACAGAGGATTTTGCTTGTTAAGAGTCCTCTCATTTGCTTCAGTTCATAAAGCTCAGCTTGCGTGTCTGGGAAGGGATATGGTTGTCCTACGGCCTCAGTTAGTGCTGGAGTCAGGAGCAGTGTTTCACCTTCCACAGCATGTATGTACATTTCAGTTCTTGAGAACTGCTTTATAATTTTTGGAAAGGAGCTTCTTTATTTGTTGCCAGAAAAGATAGTTGTGGCTGCAAGTAAAACGTAAAAATAAGCAAAGAACAAAGATGCTTTCAACAGAAGATTATCCTCTTTGACTGAGATTCTTTATTTCAGTCCTCCTGTATAGTCAGACCAGGATTACTGAAAAGAACCAACAGTCCCTTAAAATATAATCTTTTTTGGGTTTCTGTGCCAGCACTAAGGCTCAGCTTCCCTGTCCACAGCTGGCCCTCCACTACTTGAGCCATGCTGCCAGTCTGGCATGTTGCTGGTTAGTTGAAAAGAGTGTCTCAGACTCGTCTGGTTGGCTTCGAACCACAATCCTCAGATCCTCTCAAGTAATTAGGATTCTAGGCTTGAGCCCCCAGCTCCCGGCCTGTCACATCTTTCCTCTATATGGGTACATTTCAACCACAGTGACCTGGTGAAGATTTGGAAGACAAACGTGGCTGGACCCCAGGCCATTTTCATAGCACTTGCGAAGATGCACCACTTCCCACTTTCTCAGTACAGCAGCACAGTTACCATTCGCGCTGCTGCCCAGTGTGTGTCCACACGTGTCTGCACGTGTTTGCAGGTTGGCAGCCTCCTCTGGTTCTGACTGGGGCATTGGTGCTCAAAGAGGACCATGTGTCACCGAGGAGAGACTTGAAATGTCGGTCCTGGTTCATCCCCCAACCAACGGCATCAGAAGTTCTGGCAATTGGCAACTCAGTGGGATTTTTCTGCAGAGGAGAAGCTTCTCCGGGTGCCCTTTGAGGAGCCCAGCAGGGCATGTCCCCCAGCTAGCGTACATCCCAGCCACCCGTGGGAAAGGCGCTTTGGCCTGATTACTGTGCCATAGGTCGCAGTGGCACACTTGGAGTAGTGTGTGAATTGAAACATTATGCCTCACTTTCAACAGGTAAAGCTAAGGGGCGAATCCTATCCGCATAGCTATTTCCTCCCACAGTTGTCTGAGAGGTTCTTCCAGACTCGGATCCTTGCTTTTCAGTTGTACTTAGAGAAAAGGAGCTACTCTAGAGACCAAGCTCTAAGGACTTAAAGATGCAAGAATCAGATTGTTATCCTATCACAGATGTTTTTATGCAAATAAAGCTCTCAGCATGAACTCTAAGCATTCATAGTCTTCCCCAGATAAATGGCCAAAGTATATTACTCGTTCACTGAAAACTATCTTAAGCAGACAAAGCAAGATAGGTGGGAGCGTGTAACACCCATGACCGCAGACTAGTGAGCAGGCACTGAGTGTAGACTTCAAACGAACTGGAGCACATTGGTGCCCAGATCGCCTGGCCCAAACCAAGTAAATGGTGCAGCTTCCCTTCATGTTGCAAAGGGCTTCCACATTTGTCAGTTCATTTCTAAGATGAGCCTCTCAGAACAGATTCTAGCCATGCTTCTCTTTTCCCATAGAGAAACCTTGGATTGTTTTATTTTGTAATGTCCTCAAATCACTACAGCCTAGATGTCAGCTAACAGAGTGAATGAGGTCATAAGTTTGTGTGTAGGGTACAGAAAACGGAAACATTCTTGTGCATAGACATAGCTGCTTCGTGCTGGACGAGGCAAGGGTGGTTACTCCTCGGGCAGGAGTCCACCTGGGGCCGAACTGGAGCTAATCAGAGGAAGGAGGAGAGGAGGATTCCTCCTGCCTTGATTCATCGACAGGGGCTGGACACCATACTTAGGAGCATTGGATTCTATTTTAGCATTGGGTTTTGTTTGTATTCTTCCTCTAAATAATGGTACCTAATAACAGACCATAATAATCCCAGTGTTTTGAGACTTCTAGCCTGGGCTGATTGCTCTGATAATCTGAATTTACAGAAACTGATAGTTTAGTGGTGAGCTTGATACTTTGGATTCTGCAGTGCCAATTGTATACCCAAGTGTTTTAGATCTAGCATAAAGAGCATATAGCTAGAAGCATTTGTTTTCACTTTCCCTTCTTTTTAAAGAAATAGGCATTTTTGTTTCCTAAGTGTCAAGGAAACAGCAGCCGTCTCTGCCCCTTTGGCCTTTTCTCCATGTCTGAAAGCTAATGGAGTACTCAGTATGGAGCACAGTGCCCACCCAGTGAAACTGCTGGCACAGAGCGTTCACTCAGAAGCAGACTGCGCGCTCCTGTGTGTGTGCGTGTGCGAAATGCAGCCCATCTTCTACAGGCCATGCACCAGAGCTCACTGCTGCGCCCCAAGGGCTTGTGTGTGCGAGAATCCCTAGGAACCTTGTTAAAAGTAAGAGTGATTACACAGGATAATGCAATGCACACATATGAAAGCAAACTGTCTTTAGAACATTTTAAGCAAATGTTTTTAAACATATTTACCGTATTTATTTATCAAAATTTTTATTTAAAAAAGTCATTTATCCAGGCTGCTTCAGAAACTTACTGAGCTCCATGTGTGTTTTAAAGTTTCCATGTGTCTGTTAGAATATGGCCAGGTACTGTGTTTGTGAGCGACTCTACTTCATTCATTTTCCCCTTAATACGGCTATGTTATATATTTGAAATTCAGCTAACTTCATTTGTTCCTATTCGAGGAGAAACAGAGGGGTGGGGGAGAGGAGAAAAGAGAAAGAGGAAGAGGAAAGAATGAGAGAGAGAGAGACAAGAAACACAAGAATCCGCAAGCAAAATTACCTCTTTCCCCAAAAGTCTATAAGCCTTGGGTCCAGGAAATGTCACTGAATTTTAAACTCTATAACTCTGCCACTGGTACTCATCCATCAAAGCCACCCAGGGAGTTGACCAGGCAGATAGGCTTACAGGCCCATAGTCCAGAGTCCTAACCCAGGCGTCCAGAGGGCGACATTTGAAAAAAGGTCCATCCTGGGGTCTGGTGTAGGTCAGGACTGAGAATAACTGCCACGTGATTGCATGGGCTTAGAGGTTGTGTACATAGATCATAAAGCTACTGGGAAGAAAACATGGAGTGTCTCTGAGCATCATGGAATCCAGGGGGAAGGGCAAGCAGCAGGAAACTAGCACCTTAAATGTGACAAATAGGATCCCAGTGTGATACACACCTGTCATCTTAGCACTGTGAAAGGCTGAGGCAAGAGGATCAAGACTTTGAGGCAAACTTGCACGTAAGAGCAAGAAACCAAAAAGGAAAGAAAGAAAAAGAATATATGCGATTAAGGTTTTAGATAAAATGGCTTGCTGCTCTGTCCAAATATTTCAGTGTTGTATGTGTATCAATTCACTTTATACTCTGCCTAAAAGTCCTTTCAAGTGAGGTATATGTTCTTTCCTCTGTATTAAAGTGATTTTATATGTACAAGTGCAGGGATTATATTGCTGGGCAGAGAATCCTAATCTAGGAGCTTATAAGAGTTAGCCCATCTATCCATTAAACAGTGGCCTAACCTCTTAGCTCGTTGGCATTGAGATTTAATTGCCTCTAGGGTCCACATTTGGCCTTAGCTTTCAACCCCCTCTGATGCTGACCTTGACTGTGCGAATAGAGCTATGTGTCCTTGTTTCCTAGCTGAAGATGGAATTGATCTTTTTCATTTCTCTTCAAGTTAGATTTTTCTGAGAGATAAAAGGGATAACCTAATTAGCTTGTAGGTCAGACTAGTAGAAGTACGAATTATTACTAAATAGATTCATAGTACTTCAAAATATATGTTAGTATACAGCTGTACTATGCATAATTCATATCACATGGAGTTTTTAAATGACCTTTTAAACAATGAATAATGTTATATTGAAATTCTGTGTTCAATATTGCTAATATAAGATGTTCTCTAAATGACTTCAGTCGTTCAAGTGCTTTTCCATTATTACTTACTTGTTTTTAATCTGAAAACTGAAGTTTAAAATACCAAGAAAAAGAAACTATTATTTTTAAGGTCTGGGATCATGCCCATCATCATATTTTTAGTTCCTGCTTTCTAACTACTTCTGTTAAGCAAATGTTGAAAATGGTGCATCTTTTAGTAAACATCTTTGCATTTGATAATCCTTTAAGTATGTTTTTTTACATGAATATGAGCATACGTGTGATCAGACTATGTATTTGGCCTCTTCTTCTTTCAACAGAGCATTAAAAAGAAGAATACAAACAAACAGGAGATGGGCACATACCTGAGATTCATTGTCTCCCGCATGAAGGAGAGGGTGAGTGCCACACAGGAATCTTCCAGAGAGGCAGGCCCAAAGCATAGTTCACATTATTCTTTCAAAGTTAGTGACTGAGGAATAACAATATGCGTATAGCAATAGGAAGCAGCATGAAAGAGCACTTATATGTTTTTGTTTTTGTTTTTAATGAGACAAGATATCAGTGTAGCTAAGACTGGCCTTGAACTCTCTACTGCCTGTCTCAGCCTCCTGAGTACTGGAATTCTAACCCAGAGCCTCTAGACCCAGTTGCCATCATAGATTTCTCTTCTGCAGTGAGCAGTTCTGTACTAAGCTAAAGTTTTAGTTTTACCTTTGTTTTTGACAAAGGTATTTTATTGGCTGTAGTAGGTTAGAAACATGCTTAAAACTTTGTTTACCAGGGTGGAACTTTTTCTTGGATGATTACAGGTTAAAATGAATTTCCTAAATGATTGTTCTATGAAAAATTTAAGGAACACCACTTTAAATCGTATAGTATATAGGTATTTTTCCATTAAGTTTTAAAGTACTTCTTATAAGAATTCTTTTTGGGTGGTAGGAATTGCTGTGTTAGTCTCTGTTTAGCCACATGTAAAGCTGACTTGTCTACCACCGTTTTAGGCCATAGATCTTAATAAAAAGGGGAAGGACAACAAGCATCCAATGTACCGGAGGCTGGTGCACTCTGCCGTGGACGTCCCCACCATACAAGAGGTAAGCAGCACCTTTCCCTTCCTCTCGCCAGCTAAAGGTTAAACAGTGATGCTGGCTCCTGTCCCTTCCACCTTACAAGAGAAAGCATAAGTACCAAATGCAGCGTTATTCGTTATTGCTTGTAAATTCCAATGCAAATAGGTATCCTTTCTAGAAGGATCTGGTTTTAAATACTGAACAGCATTCAACCCATTGTGTGGAATGTGCTCATTCTAAACATGATATTTTTTTTAGTTGTAGCATAGTACTAGAGAGTTTCTCTCAGATTAAAACATAGATCATAAATCTGAGCTAGAGTCTTGAGAAAGACTAACATGGAAGAAAAACACAGGTTATGAGTTAGAAAGCTTTTTTTCTTTCTTTCTTTCTTTTTTTTTTGGGTCAGTTGTGGGACTTGAACTCAACACTTGGGCCACAGTACCACTTCTAGTTTTTGAGTGGTTAACTGGAAACAAGAGTCTCACGAGGCTTTTCTGCCTGGGCTGTCTTCAAACCTCAGTCCTCAGATCTCTTCTTCCTGAGTAGCTAGGATTATAGGCATCAGCCACCATTGTCCAGCTGAAAGCTTATTCTTAAAGCTGTTATTTTACCTACTATAAAAGAGGATTTTTAATGAGTTTGTTCATCTTCAATTATAAATTACAAAAATTTCAATCAAACATATACCTGTGTTTCTAGTCAGGATTACTGAGTTACTTTTTGTACTTCTGGATTATATCAAAATTTTTAGTCTTTTGGTTGGTCTTAATAGCCTATAAGGAGACCAGAAGAATAATTTAAAGTCACCTTAATAAATGATTCTAATCCCCTTAGAAACTGCAGAGACTGTGGCTGGATGATGTCAGTGGAGGGTAAAAGGTAAATGGAGGCCGTTCCCTCAAAGGGGCGGCAGATCCTGGAACAAAGACAAATTTGAGCCAGGCGCATGTGGCTCACACTTGTAATCCTAGATACTCAGGAGGCTGAGATCTGAGGCTCATGGTTCAAAACCAGCCTGGGCAAGAAAGTCTGTGAGATTCTTATCTCCAATAAACCACCAAAAAAACGGAAGTGGCTCTGTGGCTCAATTGGTAGAGTGCTTGCCTTGAGATGAAGAGCTGAGGGACAGACCCCAAGTCCAGAGTTCAAGCCCCACAACCAACAAAAATAAAAACAAGGGCTGGGAAGTTGGCTCAGTGGTAGAGCGCTTGCCTTGCATGCCTGAGGCCCTGGGTTCGATTCCTCAGCACCACATAAGCAAAAAGAAAAAAGCTGTAAGTGGCGCTGTGGCTCAAGTGGTAGAGTGCTAGCCTTGAGCTGAAGAGCTGAGGGACAGCACTCAGGCCTAGAGTTCAGGCCCCATGACCGGACCCAAAAAAAAAACAAAACAAAAATAAAAACAAGAACCAAAAAAACAGTTTTACTTCCAGATTCCATAGCTCCAAGCATGGGCCTCTCTCCAGTGTGAGACCGAAGGGTACTAGCAGCCCAGCACACCTCTCACCTTCATCTTGGCTCGTGCCATTTCCTTCCTGTTGAAACCCAGGTGCCCTCTTGTCCACACAGGCCTGTCCTGTGCCTCTTCCCTGTGCATCTGGGCCAATGATATGCTGACTGTGAACAGGAGGTACTCTAAGGAAAATTAGCAGGAAGACAAGATTTTTACGATTTTCACAGTTTAGAATGCAGACTAAAACATGAATCACAGTTAAGAGCCAAACTTAAAACCTGTTGCTTGTTGCTTGGGAACAGGTTGTAGAATTTCTTAGTCACGTGTATCTGGATCATTGGGGTGAGCTAAAAACCAAAAGCAAAGCCCCCTCAAATTCCCGCTGTCATCCTTCTCTTTGGAAGGCAAGACAAAGTTACAGATAGTCCCTTAAAGAAAATCTCCTTATAGATTCACATAGGCGAAGCCTTCCAATAGTAGACTTGGTGCATGGAAGAATGCCGGAGACTTTATTATTAAAGTATGTGTAAGTCAGACCTCATTTCAGTTCAAATTATAAACAAATTGCAGGGTTTTGGCACCCTGTCTCTGAGCCTGGCTTTTTGGTCTCTGTGAGGAAGAACGGCAGGTATATAGTTCAGGTCTCATCAGCCACGGCAACTGGAACATTCCTTACTGATGGCACCTAGAAGCAGTTTTTCACAGTCGTTTCCAAATGATCCGTTCTGCTGTGAAGTGTCCTCTAGGAAATTAGCGGAGACCGAGTGTGGCTGAGAAGCATCCAGTCCGCCACACCGAATACAGCACTTACCACAGTGATACCAAATCCTGTGCCCTGGCTGGAGTTGGTGACACAGGAGAATACTACAGTAGTTGGGGTATCTTGTGCTGGGCCTCATTTCTTATCCTGGGGTACAAGCCAGAAAAACATTCCCACCAGTAACTCTTTGCCATTTTGTCTTTTGGCCTTTCCAGAAAGTAAATGAGGGGAAATACCGAAGTTATGAAGAGTTTAAAGCGGATGCCCAGCTGCTTCTCCACAATACAGTCATTTTCTATGGAGGTTGGAGCCCTTGTTCTCTTTTGTGTGCATCTTTTAGCATGTAGCTCATATTCCATGTCAAGAAATGACTTACAAAAAAAGTCGTGGTGTTAAAATACAATACCTTAATGGTCTGCACAAATCTAATCATGTTAGCACTTAAGTTTATGAATATTTGGTTGTGTAGCTAATAGAGTTGGCTGGCAGAAGACAAAAACTGTAACACTAAATTATTGTTTATAAAGTTACATGGATTCCTCTTAGCTGAGAGGCTCTATACTAGCCTCTGGTGTTTCCTATTGAGAAACCCTCCTTCAAAGGTAAGAAGTCACTACCTACAGAAATAGTGGTTATTGTACTGAAAGTAAAATAAAACCTGTGTTTTTCTAAATCTTATTTACAGTATACATTTTGGTTTGAAATAGTATATGTTCTCTTGCTTGACTAAGTGAAAAAAAAAAAGACGATTTTAAGTGCCATATGTTGTTAGATCATTGATTATATAGGTTGTTCTTATCTTTAATTACAGCAGACAGTGAGCAAGCCGACATCGCAAGGATGCTGTACAAAGACACATGTCATGAGGTACTGTTGGGGCCCAACAGACTCTTGATACAACCCAAATTTACTTGGGATTTACTCATCTGTGTTTTAGCTCTGCCATCTCCTTTAAAGGGAATTTGGTTCATGTTTGACACACATGGGAAATAATGGAGATAGAAAAACAATTATGGGGGCTGGGAAGGTGGCTCAGTGGTAGAGCGCTTGCCTTGCATGCATGAGGCCCTGGCTTCGATTCCTCAGCACCCCATAAGCAAAAAGAAAAAAAGCCGGAAGTGGCGCTGTGGCTCAAGTGGTAGAGCGCTAGCCTTGAGCTAAGAGCTGAGGGACAGCGCCCAGACTCACAGTTCAGGCCCCACGACCGGACCCCCCCCCCCCCCAAAAAAAAAAGAAAGAAAAAGAAAAACAATTATGGCAGAAGAGTTTGCTGTCAGTAAGGTTGAACTGCTTACAAGCTGTTGTGTAGCAAGATGGTGCATGAAATACTCTGCACATGACAGACAAGGAATATTAACACATTTGCCTCTTCGTTATGATTCACAAGCAGAAAAAAAACACCTGAAAGAGTAAAGTTCACATCCATTTAATACATAAAACACATGCGTAAGAAAGTATTTTTATGGTATGCCACATTTTAAATACCTGTAACCGGTTTTTTCTCTTTTTTAATTTATTATGTTTTTACTCTACCGATGGTTGTACAGGGGGCCCCTACCATGTCACGTGTCCGTGTCTGTATACAGTGCATCTTCATCAGTCACCGCTTCGCTCACTCACCCCTTTCCCCCACCAGTCACATCAAGTGTCCCATTTCCTTTTTCACATATATACATTGAGTATTTCGACTTTTTCTACCATTTCCTTTTCCATCCATTTGGCCCCTCCCACTCACTCCCCATCAAAACTTGTTGCAGCTTGCTTGCCTGCCTGCCTGCCTTCCTTTCCTTCCTTCCCTTCCTTTCCTTTCTTCCTTTCCTTCCCTTCCTTTCCTTCCTTTCTTCCTTCCTTCTTTCCTTCCTTTCTTCCTTCATTTCTTTATCTTTTTTTTGTCGGTTGTGGGCCTTGAACTCTGGGTCTGGGAGCTGTCCCTCAGCTCTTCAGCTCAAGGTGAGTGCTCTACTACTTGAGCCACAGAGCCACTTCCAGTTTTCTGGTGGTTTATTGGAGTTTGACAGCCTTTCCTGCCTGGACTGGCTTTGAACCACGATCCTCAGATCTCAGCCTCTTGAGTAGCTAGGATTACAAGCCACAGGAATGAGCCACCAGTGCCTGGCTGTTGAAGCTTTCTAATACTCATTTTGTTAAACTTTCTGTTTAGTATTCACAAAGTTTACTCCATGGAATGTCACTATTGTGGCTGTTATACTTTAGTCAATTTGATTGTGTATACATGAATTGCCTTCTATGTATGTACATGGTATGCTATGTTTTAGGTCTAAGATCCACATACGAGAGAAACCTTGACTTTCTGGGCCTTGCTTGCTTTACTTAGAATGATTTTTTCCCCCCAGATTCATTCATTTTTTGTAAATGACACAATTTCATGCTTACTGATAGCCAAATAAAATTCTACTCTGTGTGTGTGTGTGTGTGTGTGTGTGTGTGTGAGAGAGAGAGAGAGAGAGAGGGAGAGAGAGAGAGAGAGAGAGAGAGAGCGAAACAGACAGAGACAGAGAGATTTTCTTGATCTATTCAACAGTTTTAGGGCTAACTTGGCTATTGTGAGCATGAGTATGCAGGTGCCTTTATTGTTTCCTGTCTTGCAATCTTTTGGATACGCCAGGAGTGGTATTGCTAGATCATCAATAGTTCTACTTTTAGGTTTTTGAGGAATCTCCATACTGGTTTCCAAAGTGGTTGCAATATGGAAAGCTCTTATTTGAACTCGCATTTCTACTGACAGTGTATGTGTGATCCTCTCCCAGCATTTTGTTGTGATTTTGTTGGTGACTGTGGTTTTGATTTGCATGTCCTTTATGGCCAGAGATGTGAACATTTCTTCACATATTTATAAATGGTGATAGAACTTCTGAGAAATATGTGTTTGGCTTCTTTGCCCACTTGCTAATTGGGTTATTAATTATTTGAGATTTAAAACTCTGTGTCTTCTGCTTATTAGCTCTTTGTCAGATGTGTCCCTGACAAAGATCATCTTCCATTCTATCAAGTGTCTTGACAGCATCCTTCACCATGCAGAAGCGTTTTAGCTTAATGCAGCCCCATGTTTTCCTCTCTTCTATTTGCTGAGCCCTTGGAGTTCTATTCTAGAAATTCCTGACTCTGCCAATAAGTTCTAGTGTTTCCCCTACTCCTTCCTGCAGTAGTTCAGTGTTACAGGTCTTATGGTAAGGTCCCTGACCTACTTTGTTTTTATTTTTGTTTTGGGCTAGCCTTGGGGTTTGAACTCAGAGCCTAGGTGCTGTGTCTGAACATTTTTGCTCAAGACTAGTTCTCTACCACTTGAGCCACAGGTCTATTTCTGGCTTTTGGGTGCTTAATTGGAGATAAGAGTCTCATAGACTTCCCTACTCAGGCAAGCTTTGAACCAGAATCTTCAGATGTCAGCTTCCTGAGCAGCAAGGATGACAGGCATGAACCACCAGCACCAGGCTGTGGTCTTCTGTGAACTGATGCTGGTATGGAGTGAGAGATTAGGGTACCATTTCAATGTAATGTATATGGGCATCCTCTTCTCCCATTACCTTTTGTTGAAGGGGTTTTGCTTTCTCCTATGTGTATTTTGAACTCCTTTGTCAAATATCAGTTTTAGTACTATTATTTTTGTAACAACCCCTTATATATTAAAACATGAGTTTTCTACAACTCATTTCTAATTTGACTTTTCCTTTTTACTTATTCAATGAATATTTATTGACTGCCCATCTCATGCCGGGCCGTGGGGGCCGGCAGGGGGCAGAGAATAAAGTGATAAGGGCACAGGCTTCCTGCCACAGAGCTAGATTCTGAAGAGACACTAGAAGAAAGCAAAAGGAACAGACAAGAGTATGTTCCTATATAAGTTATAAAACATGTTATGGAGACAAAGCAAAGCCTCCTGTGGCCCTTGTGTGTTCTGTGTGCTGTCTTGCGGGGCCCAGCAGAAGAGGCACTGTTTCATCTGAGTGCTGAGCAGTGAGCTGCCTCAGGCCTCAGAGCATGAAGGCCACAGCAGGCCTCTCGTGGCCTTCATCCCCGTTCCATGTGCCAGAGACACCCTGAGGTGGTTGGCAGTGACGTGACAAGGCCATCGAGTACTACTGAAATTAAAACTTAAGCTGAAAAGATTACATAAGAAAACAAAGTAAGACTTTCTGTGTATGAATGGGAACGTTAATGTACATGAATGTCAGAAGCATTTAATGCACACATGCATGTTATGTTGCTTCTCTCTTTCAGCTGGATGAACTACAGCTTTGCAAGAACTGTTTCTATTTGTCCAACGCTCGTCCTGACAACTGGTTCTGCTATCCTTGTGTACGTGAGGTTTTGTGACTGTTCGTTTTTACTCTAGTGTATAATGTACTGCCCAAGGAAGTTTATTTCCATTTTGTCTAAAGATTATAATTCTTCATAAAATTCTTTCTTTGCATTATAGAGGGGTTTTGTGTTTGTTACTGGTTTCTGCTGCCAGTACCAGGGGTTGAACTTAGGCCTCATATTTTCTTGGCTCTCTTGCTCATGGCTGACACTCAGACTCCAATGCTCTTTCACTTTGAGTCATACCTCCAGCCTAGCTTTTTGCTGGTTAATTGGATATGGAGTCTCAAAGACTCTTCTGCCTGGGCTGGCATCAAACTACAATCATCTAGGTCTCGGCCTCCTCAGGCATGAGCCACTGGCACCGGCGTCATACATGGTTGTAATAAACATGAACAATTGAAACATGGGGAATAACTGGAACCATTAATAATTTCTAAATTATTAATTATTAAATTATTCTAATTTCTTTAGAAGGACCACATATTGGGTTCCATGACAGTAAATTTTTTCTCTTCCTCCTTTTTTTTTTTTTTTTTTGTTGGTCATAGGGCTTGGACTCAGGGCTTAGGAGCTGTCCCAGAGCTTTTTTGCTCAAAGCTAGTGCTCTACTTTGAGCCACAGTACCACTTCCAGTTTTCTGGTAGTTAATTGAAGATAAGAGTCTCACAGACTTTCCTGCCCAGGCTGGCTTTGAACTGCGATCTTCATATCTCAGCCTCCTGAGTAGCTAGGATGCCAGGTGTGACCTGCCAAGGCTCTGTAATTTCCCAGCGGCATGCCTTCCCGCCAGGGGCTGACACCAACCCTCTGTATTCTGGGTCTGCTGTCCCAGGCAGTGCCCCAGGGGACATGGAAATAAGCCATCTTTGGAGACCAGCATTTATGTCACTTGTGGAGCTTGTGACAACCAGTTCTGGCTCAGTAGGTCTGGACCCCAAATCCTCCCATTTCTAATGATGACCCTGCTGATACCAATGCTGCTGCTGCTGGCATAGGCTGCCCTTCCAGAAGCCTCGTTGGCTGCTTCTGTTTTCATGGCCCTTAGCTACACAGTGGCCCCATTCCAGTCTGTGCCTCGTCTCAGAAATAAAACTTGTATTCCTAATCCTTCTCATGCAATATACATTTTGAATATTTTTTTTCTTTTTTTTTTGGTTGATCGTGGGGCTTGAACTCTGGGCTTGAGTGCTGTCCTTGCGCTCTTCAGCTCAAGACGAGCGCTCTACCACTTGAGCCACAGTGCCACTTCCGGTTTTCTGGTGGTTTATTGGAGATTTGGGTCTCATGGACTTTCCTGCCCAGGCTGGCTTTGAACCGTGATCCTCAGATCTCAGCCTCCTGAGTAGCTAGGATTACAGGTGTGAGCCACTGGCACCCGGCTTTGAGTATTTTTCTTAAAGGTTAAAAAAATGCACATCTGTGTTTTTACATAGGAGTTATAAAAAAATTTCAAAGTAACAGATTATACTTGATCTCATCTGATATTAATGGTATACTTGCATTTATCCTTTAAAAATAATGTGACAGTAAAATATTTTATTTCCAGATACCTAATCATGAGCTGGTTTGGGCTAAAATGAAAGGTTTTGGTTTTTGGCCAGCCAAAGTCATGCAGAAAGAGGACAATCAAGTGGACGTCCGCTTCTTCGGTCATCACCACCAGAGGTAAGTCACAGCCCAGCATGTTCCCAAGAGCCACATCGGCCTCCACTAGCAACAGCCGGCATCATTTGAAACAGGAATAACAGAATCAGCATGTCTAAGCATGATTCTCATAAATTATATTTCCATTATGTTTTTCAGATAGTCTTTGCTAAGCAGGACATCTTTGGTAGGAGGTACTGGTGATCCTTAGGCCATTAGTACTGAGATTGAGTTCATGATGCAGGGAGCTAGCGGGGAGGGGCATTCTTCAGAGTATCTGCTTCATAGTCATGTAAAGACTATAATCTCTTGATTATCTTGATTGAGCCTCTTCAAAGGCTAAAGCTAAAGCCATAGTAGACTAAAATAAAGTGTGCTGAAGTTTCTGTTTCTAGGAAGATAAACATGGCAAAATTTAAAATGTTATATGTTGTTAATATAAGAGTACATGTGTCCCCGAAATAGAGACCATTTTATTTTTATTTTTATTTATTTATTTATTTTATTGTGAACATACTGTACAGAGGGGTTACAATTACATGGGCAAGATAATGAGTATATTTCTTATCAAGCATTGCAGCCTCCTCCTTTGTTTACCCTTCACATCCCTTCCCAGCCTCCCCCCGTCCCCCTACCTAATCCTCCCCCCCCCCAAAGTTGTAAAGTTCGTTTTCGACATGACAACTTGTACTTCTCATTGTTGCAACAGGTCCACCAGTATCCTTAAACGACTTGTTTTTCCCCTTCTCCATAGAGACCATTTTAATACTTTAAGTATCTCATAGAATAGTGACTTACAGGACTGTAAGGTTACAGTCCCTCCTTGGTTATGAATTAAGGCCTTAACATTATTGAAAAATTGTCAGTAATCAGTAAGAGCATGGAATCCAAAAGCATGAATTCAGGTTTCGTAAACTCTCATAAGACTTGATTTTCCTGAATAGAATTGATGATCAATAAGGGATTTTAAATGAATGATTGGTTAGGACATACATTTAAAATGTATCTTATTAGAATGTTTGAAATATCTATCAAAAAATATAAAATTCTAATTATGAATTTTTATTTAAAGTAATACACTATGGATGAAAAAGACATGGCTCATGAAGAACCCCTAGCTGTAAGCTATATTTCTAATATATGCTTTTAATTGTATGCCATATTACACTTACAAGGAAGTGAAAAATCTTAAGCAAATAAATGGTTTTGGACTAGTCCTGTCCAGACAGACCGAACATGCTGCTCTTTCCTGGACTCCACACCCGCTGTAAAAACCCAGGATAAGTTACTGCACTTCCACGTAAGAGCTGCTTTTCTGGGCCACTTGTAGGATTTGCAGGTTTTTGTCTGACATAGAGAGAAAAGGTAACTGAGGAGTTGTGCCTTAAGGAGGTGAGCCTTTTTGCTGTAAGCAGCTGAGGGACACATGGCCATATCATCAGAGCATTTGGGATTGACCCGAACATATACTAGCCAAATTAGAATGATAGATCTTTCTATTATGCAATCCCAGGATTGCATGTGTGGGGAGGCACTTGTTTGCATTTATTTACTTATTTGTTTATATAGATCAAAGAATGTAGCTAGTGCATGCCCTGTAACACTTTTTGAAACTCAAATCTGATTGTCTATGACAGTGGGGTTAAGAAGGTAGAAATCTCTCATGAGCTGCGGTGAGACTTTAAATGTGGACTTGTTTCATTCTATTCAGCAATTCCAGGGGAAAACATCTTATTGGTTGCAGGCCCATTCCAGGTGGTCAGCACTGTCTGTATCAGAGCTTGCTCCTAAGTATCGTACTTTTAGACAGTGAAGAACAGCTCTTTTATCACATAACAAGAGCTTAAAAATGCTTTTAGATTGAGTAGATAAAGACTAATTCAAAATCTAATGGTAAGGAAATCTTCCACACACTATTCATTTTTTAGTCTCTATTAGTTTAGTTCTCTATTAGTCTCTGTCAATATACTTTAAAGTATAAGGTTGAAAGTTTTTTCATGCTCTTAAGTTTCTAACAAAGCATTCAGGCCAGGAGAGATGCCATTGATAGAATATTCATAGATATCTCTAATATTGCTTATGAAGTTCAAATTGAACACTTTTAACTATTAGTGTTAACAGTACAGCTTATATTTTAAATGTGCTTTCAAATGATGAAGCATATAGCTTAGCTTTCACAAGAAAGTTAGAACTCTTCCTTTATTGGTCAGGCTCAAGTGGCCATGATTCCCTTAGCAATTGCTCTGCATGACCCAGTATTTCTGAAACTCCGTCATTGAAAGGCCTGAATGAAAATGGTGATCTCCTGTGTATTCATATCAGGAGAAGCTTTTTTTAAAATTTTTTTAATTTATTTTTTTATTGTGAAAATACTGTACAGAGGGGTTACAATTATAAGATAATGAGTACATTTCTTATCAAGCATTGTTGCCTCCTCCATGTTTCCCCTTCCCATCTTCCATCCCATGCGCCCTCCCCCCCCCCCCCCCCCCGCCCCTGCCAAAGTTGTAGAGTTTGTTTTTCAACATAACGACTTGTACATCTCATTGTTGCAATGGGTTTATAGAAAGTTGAAAATAAATAGTGTGTGTCCACAGAGCTTTGTCCCATCTTGTACTTTGGCCGATGGTCACACTGTGTCCTCCGGCCTTCCTGCTCCATCGTTGTCTGCTGTCTCAGTCTTGCTCCGTCTTGTGAGATCAAGCACAAATAAAGCGTTTTGATTTCTCAATCACTGGCCATCTCTTCCTTGTACAGCATCCCAGAATGCCTTTAGCCTGTGCTGTGTTGCAGTATTACAGGCAGAGGCCATGCTTTAATTGCTGTCACAATCAGCAGACCTGACATCTTGCTGTGTTCTGGCCTCCCACTAAGAGTCTGTCCTACATCTCCCCCCCAGCTGTTAGACGCCAGAGGCAGCAAAACAGCATCATTAAATTTCGATCACTTGTGTCCTGGGCAGTGCCTTCCACTAGTGACTGTGAGCATTTGTGGAGTTGACACACTCTCCTGGGTGGATAGTTGTTTACCTCCAGTTGAGAGCTTATGCCTAGGAAGTTTCTCCTGAATTTTTGAGCCTCTTTCCTAAAAAAACCCAAAATGGTTTTCATTCTAGGGTTGAATTTATGTTGCACAAATTGAGTTGTATTCATAGTTAAGTATACTACTGAATAGTATAAATGCATCTTTATTTGCTAATCTGGTTTATCTCATGTGTAGCAGCATGACAAATACAGTTTACTAAGTCATATTTTAAGACTGCCTCATTTTGTATGGATACATGTGTATATGTGATAGGAACTTTGGGCTTTCTGAGTGATTCTGTAACCGGAACTGTCGACAGCTGGCTGGAACTCTGCTAGCTTAATAATGAGAGGTAACAGTTAAGAGATGCCAATTTTTTGAAGGACTCACAAAAGTGTATATATGAACTATGAGAACTAAACGGAGCCAAGAAAGTAGCGATTAGGAGGTAGATGTGACTCATTTCCAAATCCAGGAAGACACCTCCTCCCTCGATTTCTACATGGAGCTTTGTGAGCCTTCCTTAGTGTTTGCCGATCACAGCAGGCTGAGGCCTCTAAGCACTCCCAGCGCCCTTCCCCCACTGCAGGTACTCTGATTGTGCTGCCCAATGCTTTCCCAGGGCCTGGATTCCCTCTGAAAACATCCAGGACATCACCGTCAACGTCCACCGGCTGCACGTGAAGCGCAGCATGGGCTGGAAAAAGGCCTGTGATGAGCTGGAGCTGCATCAGCGCTTCCTTCGTGAAGGAAGATTCTGGAAGTCTAAGAACGAGGACCGAGGGGAGGAGGAGGCAGAATCCAGCATCTCCTCTACCAGTAACGAGCAGGTGAGTCAGGTGTGGTAAGGAGGAGGATGCCTTAGTTCTTGTTTTCCAGTGCAGGAATCTCCATGCACCTCCTCACTGTGATAAAAAGGATTTTTTGTTGTTTGTCAGTCATGGGGCCTGAATTCTGGGCCTAGGCGCTGTCCCTCAGCTCTTCAGCCCAAGGCTGAGGAGCTCTACCACTTGAACCACAGCACCACCTCCAATTTTCTGGTGGTTTAATTGGAGACTAGAGTCTCATGGACTTTTCTGCCTGGGCTGGCTTTGAACCATGATCCTTAGATCTCAGCCTCCTGAGTAGCTAGGATTACAGGCATGAGCCACCAGTGCCTGGGTTGATAAAAAGGTTTTGACCTTCTTTGTTCATGCTTATATTTGTAAAGTAAATAAAACCACTTCAAAGAAATAAATAGATACAAGCATCAATACCTGGGAGCCAGGGTGAAGAGTCAGGTGCACCGCCCTCTGTGGAGGCCCGTGGGCTCGCCAGGCCACACCAGTAACCAAGCAGAAACAGGCCTGGAAAGAGCTGAGGGACCGGCAGTGATCTCACTTCTCTCCTGTGCATCCCTGCAGGTGTTTTCAACTTAGAGGTATTTCTGGCTACGGACTAATAAGATTTTGCTTTTGTGATATCCACAGCTGAAGGTCACTCAAGAACCAAGAGCAAAGAAAGGACGACGCAATCAAAGTGTAGAGCCCAAAAAGGAGGTAAGATGCGTTGTTGGCAATTGAAGAGGAAATAGTCTCAGCCCGGGCCACGCCTCCTCGGGGAGGTGTGTGAGACGTGGTTGCCACCGGTCAGATGCTGCTGGTCACATCCTGTACATCAAGTCCAGATCTAGTCTTCTGGTAACTGTCATCTTGCCTGACCAGCTCACCTAGGTTCAGAGTCTTCATCCTCATTTGTAACCGTGGAGCTGGGTGCAGGTGGGCCAGCAGGGTGGGCATGAGTCTCCATCTTCCTGACCAGGTCTTTTTTATGCCCTTATTACAAACATAAATCATTAATCACCAGCATTTAAAAACTGACCAAGGTATGGTTAAGCTAAGCTCTGCATTTTTTTTTAGGTACTGGGGTTTGGATTTGGGTTTTTTTGTACTTTAGGCAGGTGTTCTAATGCTTGAAGCTCAACTTTTTAAAATTATATAAACTGTGCATATATTAAACTGTGTCAGTCTGGGTATCTTCCAAACACATGGAGCAAGAAGTGGTTTAGGATTTTAGGAGATTTTTACTGCATATAGCCTAAAGTGATTGTAAGTTGGTAATATATTTATGCTTTATATAAATTTTGACAACATTTTTTGCTTCAAAAGTGAAGCCAATAGTATTATCATGTAATGGAATTATATGTTAGGTTTTTGTTTAGAATTATCATGTTATTGTCTATATTTTCATTCATTAGTTGGTTTAGGGAGACTTGCTTTGAATTATGATGAATTATAAATGAAAAGGTATCTTAACTACTTGGCTTTTTCTCCTTTCACATTGATATGACCAACCATTTAACTTGGGGTAATAGACTATGTGCCTGTGGGTATAGCAATTAAAATAACAAATGGGATAGAGATTCATAAAGATTTAAGACAGACTACTTTCAGATTTAACAAAGATGCAGAGGAAAGCACTGTGTACACTGCTAATGACTGAGACAGTACCTGACTGCCTCAACACGTACACTCTGGGAAATCTATCACATCAGAAAATAATGTTATAAAATCATCATTAACTGACATTGGACAGACAGTGGGCAAATGCAGTCCAAATGTCAACAGGGCAATAGCTGTGGACATTGCATGCAGTATCTGTGGCATGTGAGGCATAAATGCAAAAAGGATACACATGTGGGAAGGAATGCTGCTGTGTGTGGAATGGGACCATTACAGACTTCTCCACAGCACTCATATACATGGAGGCTTCCAGAAGTTCAGGAGGCTAGCCGCTATCCTTCAGATGGAGGAGATTCAGACAGGTGGGGCAAATTAACTTTTTTTGTTCTGAACATCCTGTTTTCTTTTCCTAACCAGTAAACAAATACATAAAACGAAAACTGGATTTAGACTGTACGTTTTTTTTTAAAAGTGAGAAATAAAAAAAGGTAAGTGGATAGCTCAAGTCAGTAGAGGACAGAAGCAGGCCAGCAAGCGCGCAGCCAGCTTGAGCGAAGCAGAGGCGCCGCAGCAGGACTGGCCTGGCCCACTCCCAGTTATGCCCCTTGGAGGAACGGGTATATTCATGTTCACCTATTAGAAATAAAATCCAGGCACATAAAAGAAGAGCCACGTATACAAACATAGAAATGACAATCGTGTACCTTAGTTGGAGTCCCTGGAAACCTGAAGCAGCTTAAAAGATTTTTTAAAATGCCCTTTCTTTATGACTTACAGCTTATTCCAGAATAGGAGGTAACCACCTTCAGAGGAGTTAAGCTGTTAAAAGTACAAATGGCCACAACTGTCATTGCAATCCCAGTAAACACAGTCTAGTATGTCCAAGCGGCACACGGTGCCAATTTGGTTTGCAGCTACTATCATAGTACACCACCTCAGGTTGACAAGTGACACTTTGTCACTGCCTTGGCTACATCTTTGGCAGTGTGGAATGCCCATGATGGAGAGCTGACACTTGGCCCACCTACATGGGGTGTAGCTGTTCTCGTCAGTCCTGTGCTTTGTAAGTCCCTGATTTGCTGTGACGATGTTCTTAGCCAGGTGTTGCCTATCAGTGTAGACAGGTGATGCTGTGAGGTGTGTCCATTCACCATTGTCCAGAATTTTCAGTGCAAAGCAAAAAGTTCCCGCTGCACATTGAGGAGAGGAAAGAGCACCCTTTCCTAGCCTAGCACAGTCCATTCTGCCAGGTATTCCGATTCTCAGTCCTCTGCGGAGGATGGGCAGGGCAGAGGGCAGCCCAGCCCCAAGTTCAAAGCTTGTAGAATCTTCCTTTCCCTTGGTCTGATTTGGAGCTTTTAAGTATTGTTAGTCACAAAAGCAAAGTTGGCCATTTCCAGAAGAGACATTTCCTCAGATCTGCCTCACTGACCACAGCAATGACACCAGCCAGTGCAGCATCTCTGGGTGCAGTGACAGTCATGAACATGCACATACTCATGACAAAGGTTTGCATCAGATCCATCTACTGCATCCACCTTCCTCACTGTGATATTACATCAGAGAAAGCCAACACACACACACGCACACACGCACACACACATGCACATACTCCTCCACAGGGCTCGTCCAGAGGTCTTGGCTCGGGGTCAGAAGGACCCTGGCCTTATTTTCAACATTAATTTTCGTGATTGTGGTGATCCGGAGTGCATAGTCCCTCTTCCCCGGGTACCCGCAGCCCTCGCATACTAACCCAACTTGGGTTTTACCAGCAGCATATTCCACTATTTATGTGCATCGCTGGATATTTATCCCAGTAGAAGTCTATCATGAATGAGTTCGGTTGCCTTGTTTCACGTCTAAGCACTTCCTGCCTTTCAGGAGCCAGAGCCGGAAACGGAAGCGGTGAGTTCCAGCCAGGAAATCCCCACGATGCCTCAGCCGATCGAGAAAGTGTCCGTGTCCACTCAGACCAAGAAGCTAAGTGCCTCCTCCCCACGGATGCTGCACCGTGGCACGCAGACCACCGGCGATGGGGCCTGCCAGAGTGTGTGCCATGACAAGTACACCAAAATCTTCAATGACTTCAAAGACCGGATGAAGTCGGACCACAAGCGGGAGACAGAGAGAGTTGTCCGTGAAGCTCTGGAAAAGGTAAAGCGGTTTCCCACCATGGGCTCCCTGGAGAAAGAGCCTCCACCAGGGACCGGCTGCCCTGGAGAAGGGTGGCATGTGCCAGGGTCTCTTATAATAGTTTCCTTAACAACGCTTTCCTGCACATCTTAGGGAAGCAAAGGACAAGGCACGTGGACAGCACGTGAAGCGCGTGGATGTGGGTGGCCCGGGACAAGTAGGGTTGACTCCTTTCCCTTGCAGCTGCGATCTGAAATGGAGGAAGAGAAGAGACAAGCCGTAAATAAGGCGGTCGCCAACATGCAGGGTGAGATGGACAGGAAGTGTAAGCAAGTAAAGGAAAAATGCAAAGAAGAGTTTGTAGAAGAGATCAAGAAGCTAGCGACACAGCACAAGCAACTCATTTCCCAGACCAAGAAGAAGCAGTGGGTAACTATCTCCATTCTCTTCTTACACGTTCCAGAAAGCATACCACGAGTGTGACAAAACACTTGGGAAGGTGTACGGGGCGTGTACAGCAATTATTTTTCCAAATGAGACCAACTGTAAAGTTGTCAACTTAAGTTGATTTAACATTTTTTATTATCTGGGCGTGGTGGCCGAAATCTACAGTTTTAGCTACTTAATAGGTGGAGATCTAGAGGCTCAAGGTTCAGTGATGCTCCAGGAAAAATGAAGAGCCTACTGGGAAAATAACAAAGGCAAAAAGGCCTGGGGGTGAGGCTCGCGTGGTGGAGTGCCTGCCCTAGCAAACCCCACTCCTCCCCCTCCCAAATTCCAGTCCCCTCACCTTTCACCTGCAGGTGGTCATGTGACTGAGCGTCACTCGGGACCAAGGGTGAGAGCCTGTGAGCATGTCGGGCGCCACGCACTAGGTGTGCAGCTGGTGTTGGGCACGCCTGCAATCCTAGCTACTCAGGACGGAGATGAGAGGACTGAAGTTCAAAGCTAGGGCAGAAATTGCTGCAAGACGGCTCCAGCCAAGCGCTGGAATAGAGGTGTGGCTTAAGTGGTAGAGTACCAGCCACCAGCAAGCAGAGTGTTGAGGCCTTGTTCAAGTCCTGATACTGGCACGCGTGCATACACACACACACACACACACACACACACACACACGAGGCAAACAGCTGTTAAGATGAGAGAGGAGGACCATGGTGAAACTCTGAGTCGTTGGTGTAGCTGCAGGGAGAGAGAAGAATGCAGGAGAAGCAGACGGGATGGGGCCGGAGGGCGGGAAGATGGTGCTGCTGTTGTTTAAAGGTGAAAAGGAGGTCAGTAAACTTAGTGTGAAGTCGCATGAGCACTGGGGCCCAAGCCCCAGAGTCTAGTCCCAGAGCTCGGGGTTATCAGAGAGAGTTGCATTCGTGCTGTGCTGAGCAGCACTTCACACAGGGCCTCTGTGGGTGTCACAGACACCAAAGAACAGAACGCATGATCGAGAAGGAAATTACAGGACTTTTTTAAACCAGACTTCTAGACCCATCTGCACATGGACACAGACTGCTGCCGGGCCTGTGCTCTCCCGCCCGCGGCCCACAGCTCAGCCTTTACTTCTCCATCCCCCAACCATCCAGCCAAGGTGCTGGGAATCTGTTGCGCAGCTCAGCCTGCGGGGCTTCGCTGTGTCTCCTCCCTCCGCACCTTCTGCCCCAGCTTGCAGAGTGAGAGAGAGACAGGGGGAGAGAGAGATCGTCCAGATGAGCAGAGAGGCGGTGGTGGGAAGGAGTGCAGGGGTGCTCAGGGGTGCTGGCACAGGCTGGAGCAGATCCCCTGCTGCCTGCTTCAGCCGGGAGGTGTGGGTAGGCCCAGAGCCCCGCTGTCTAACCCACACCTCTGCTTCCCTGCAGTGCTACAACTGCGAGGAGGAGGCCATGTACCACTGCTGCTGGAACACGTCGTACTGCTCCATCAAGTGCCAGCAGGAGCACTGGCACGCGGAGCACAAGCGCACCTGCCGCCGGAAAAGATGAAGCCCCGGCCGGCCGCCCTCGCCCGCGCTCCTCAGACACCGCGGTTTTTGTTTCCAAGAAGCCAAATTGTTCCGAGTTCGCTTCCCATTTGCACCAGCCTTTAAACACTTTTCGTGAAGAAATTTTGCACAGTAGTTTAAAAATCTTTCGTTAATGCTCCTCCGGAGTTTTCAGGGGGTGAAAGTAACATCAGTGGAGGGTCTTATTTTAAATAAATTTTAATTGAGAATTTGTTGCATTTTCAGCAAATTTGGAAACATTTTTAGGTTTTACAGAGATTTTAACCTTTAGACAACAGATCTTTAAAACCAGGTGAACACAAGCGAGTTGAACCAAGACACGTTTAGCGTGGACCTGAACATGAGAACTCAGAACTGTTTCAGAAATCAAACATACTACCTGATGTGACACTTCTCTTGCCCTGGTGGAGCTGGTCCTGTGCAGCCCCTGCTGCCGCGGCGTGTCTGCTGGCCGTGCCAGCGGGGGGTGACCGAATTTAGGGAACAGGGTGGACACCGCAGGGCTCGGCCTGCGTATGTTTTCTTAAATATTTCCCAATTGTGTTTCTTTTCATTATTTCTTTTCAATATATAACTTTTATAACAAATTACTAGCTTTGATCTTGTAGTTTAAAAGTTGCAGGGAACTGGGGGTAATCTTTTACTGAGCTGGATCTTAGAGAAAAAAAATGAATATTTAAAAGAATTTTAAAGTTTGCACATTTCATCCTTTGTCCTAACATGAGTGCTTGTAACAAGATAAATAGCAAAGCGAAAAAAGAAAAAGCCAAAAACTACCTGTACCCATATGTGGAATTCTTAAGATGAGGCATACAAATTTCTTCAACGCTTCCCACCCCTCCCGATCGCCATCCTAACTGTCTAGTGCCCGGCGTGGCTGGTGCAGGAGCCGCCTGCCCTGGAAGGAGAGCGAGCCCTGAGCCCGGGCCGGCTTGCCCACCGGGACCCCGCCGCGCACCGGAGGAAGAGTGCATGTCCGTTTCCTCGTATTACAGATGACGTGATTTGTAAAAAGTCTGTATTTTGCGGAATGTCTGATTAAGAAGCATTACCAATAGGAATGGATCGATAGTTGAATAAGGACTTTTTTTTATATATATATACAAATAGAGATATAAAGTACAGCCAGGAAACACCTAAATTGCTTTTCTTTAAACATATTTCCCAAGCTATGTGTGGTTTTTCTCCCCAAGACTGAACTTAGACCAAGTCAAATTCTCACTTACCATTTAGTTACTTTTTTTTTGTTTTTGTTTTTGAGATTAGAGGAATAATTTGTAAATATTTATTTAGACCTTTGATATTTATTAAAGCAGTGAACTCACAGTGCAAGTGAATGGATCGGGAGAAAAGCCTTTTAAAAAAGTTTTCTCCAGTTTGTCAGGTCACTCTAAAGACGAAAGCGTAGTCAGCCTTCTAGGACATCTCATCATTGGTCCCTGTACTGTTGCCGATGGCGACACGAATTCCCCAATCGACCGGCTGTGCCAGCTGGTGCCCGGCCTGCACTGCACGGGCCTGGCTGCCAGGCTCCGTGCTCCCGGCTCCCGCCCCTCCTCCTCGCTGAGGAACTCGGCAGCAAGGCCGAGCAACCAAGAACACCTGGCCACCTTTGGTTGATTTTCAAGTTTTAAAACTTCGATCCACCCCTATGAGAGCAAGTTATTGTGGAACTATTTTTGGTGTAAAATCATTCCAGAGTATGTAATATTTACCTGATAGCTGCATGAACGTGAGATTCGTGTTCCTTTGGCTTTTTTTTTTTTTTTTTGTCTCTGTTGACGGGGTTGCACATTTCCAAGTTACTACAGCGTGAAACTGTGTGTTTAAAAAAAAATTTAAAAAAAAGATTGTGGCCTGGTTTTGTAAAAGTTTTAGGTAAAAATTACAACTGATTGTTTTAGGAATCATTACTGAAAATTTTCTGCAATCGTAAAGCTGTATCAAAGTGTGGAGCTTAGCCACTATGCACATTGTAATTACCATGGTGGCTGTCTGGTTCTATGACGCATTCTGGCATTTTGTAAGCTGCTCTGACTAGCAATATATAGATTCATTTAATGTGTTAACATTGGTTAATAAATGTATTTAAAAAAAAAAACGCTCGCTCCGACAAGCTATTGATTTAGTCCACTCCTCTGTACCAAACCCAACACAGCTGCACCTGACCCTGACCAGCAAGGCCTGGCCGCCTCTGGAGCCTACTTTTACTTTAAATTACTGTGTGCGACAGAATTCCTTCACTTTTATTGGGGGGGGCTGGGGGGGCTCTGACCTCAGTTCAGGGTAGACTCCAATGCTTCCTCCCTCTGACCAGGCCACTGAGCATGTTGTGTCTTCTTTCTCCTTGTCTGTAGCCTCCACTCAGTCCTTCCCAGCCTTGACCTTAGCCCAATGCTCAGTCCCATCCCGACTCTGGAGTTCTACCCTGGCAGTGGCTGGTCCTTCGAGACCTGGGAAAGGAAGTACAGTGGACCATTCAGGAAATGTGCTCGTGCCTACACGTTTCCTAACATGCAGAATTCTCTTCAGGTTAAGAATTTCTGACCTAGCAAGGCACTGGCTGGCAGCTCATGACTGTGATCTTAGCTGTTAAGGAGGCTGAGATCAGAGGCTAGAAGTTCAAGGCCAGCATGGACAGGGCAGGGAGGAGGTCTGTGAGATTGTTGCCTCCAATTAATCAGCAAAGAGCTGGAAGTACGGCTGTAGCTCCACAGCTAGAGCACCAGCATTGAGTGAAAAAACCAAGTGAGAATGTGAGGCCCTGAGCTAAAACCCCAGTGCCAGTGTGCGCACAAACACTGGCCTAGGACACACATACACTGGCCTAGCACATGCACAAACACTAGCCCAGCACGCACACAAACACTGGCCCAGTGGAATTAGTGAAGCAAAATTAGGGGGAACAACAGTTCCGAAACAGATGCCACTGACTGCCCTCTCTGCACAAGGCCCAGGAGCCCTGTGTGATTGAGGTGTAATAAAGACAGCTGGGAAGACAGACTGGGAAAATGGAGGCTGAGTTCCAGGGTAGCACTCTGGAGGTGGTGGGGAAGGAGACAGTTCTATAGAAAAGGGACCCCTATAAGTCACTACTATATAAACAGCACAATTTTTTTTAGGGGGTGAGGGTGGTCCTAGGATTTGAACTCAGGGCCTGGGAGCTGTCTCTTAGCTTTTTTTGCTCATGACTAACTACTGCTTGAGCCACAGTTCCACTTGTGGCTTTTTGGTGGTTAACTGGAGCTAAGAGTCTCACAGACTTTCCTGCTTGGGCTGGATTTGAACCGCAATCCTCAGATCTCAGCCTCCTGAGTAGCTAACATTACAGACATGAGCCACAGGCACCCAGCAACAACACAAAATACTTGAACACGCCAACACTAAAGGGTTTGCCTTGGTGCCTCCATCATTCCGGGAGTCTTTTCTACTGCTGCTTCTCAGGGGACTCAGCATTAATCTAGTGCAGTCAGATGCTAATGGCGAACCTGTTAGCCTATGCCAATGGCAGGGCCTTTTGAACTGCGGCCTTGCAAAAGGGAAGCCCGACATTTAAGGGAATCCTCCTGTTTCCAGGAGATGAGGGCATGGTACTGCATCCTTGCTATTTGCTCCTAAGCAAAAGGACTGGCCTCTACCGTCCTTCAGCCCCCTGCTGACGGCCGCCTGCTGGAGCCAGGGCCATTCAAGCAGGCATTCCATGACTCAAGGGACAGCCCAGAGTGTTCCCACGGGGCTGTCTCCACCACCTCCTGCATGGGAAGCAGTTCTCCAGGGATTACACAGCTGTCCTGTGTGATAGCTAAAGAAAACAAGGCCGGATGACAGCTGCAACCCAACCTAGCGCTGAGAACTTTAAAGCACAGGTGGTGCAGGCTGAGCATGCGCGGGCTGAGCTGAGGGCCGGGAGGCAGGAGGCAGATGTACAAGGAGAAGCACCTTGGCTTCCACATGAGTTGAAGCTGAAGGAATGGCGTGGCTGTTGGAGTCCGGGTTCTAATGCACGTGACGAGTGGAGAGCAGGGTTTGTCTTGGTTCACAGCTCTCCATCTCCAACCCGTCTACCTTTGTCTCCTCCACCCTGAGAGCAAATTGAGATTGTGTGTGCGTGCGCGTGTGGAACACATGCACACACATGCTGGTGCTGGGGCACTATCCTTTAGCTTGTTCACTCAAGGCTGAGGCTCTACCACTGAAAGCATTGTTCACTTCCCGTGTTTTGCTGATGAATTGGAAATCCTTTCCTGCCTGGTGTGGGCATGTTGGGGAATCATCATTTCAGGGAGTCTACGTGTCCAGGAAATTAGGGCAAGGCAGAAGGGGAGGACATCTGTGACCCAAGAGAAGAAAAACCTTGTTCCCCATTCTCCCGATATTAAAACCTTGATGCCCGACTATGACCACCTGTGCTGCTCCTGACTATGCTATAGGAGAACCAGGATCACATCCACTCACACAAGCCTCACAGGTGACATTTTGCTGTACAACGTGGGGCTCGAGAAGACAACAAAGTTGTCAAAACCTGACACCCAGTGCTGGAATAGCCGCGAGTTACTGGAGTTCTAACAGCTCGAGTCTTCAGGGAGAGCCTTCTGAGCCAAACTTCCCAGCGCAGCCCCTCTTTTTTCTTCCCCTTCTTCCCTCCTCTTCTTTCCTCTTAGTGAAGGGTTTTCTCCCTGGGGAAACCCTCCTCGCAGCCCACTTCCTCTTCCACCGGTTGTCCCCACCAGGAGTGGCCAGCCAGGCAGTGGCTGAGGCCCTTCTTCCCCTGGCTGGGGAGGCCGGTATCTCACCTGTGATGCACAGACTCCTCTGGGCAGAGCAGCACAGCACTTGCACTGCTGCATGGACGTGGGCCTCGGGCCTCAGGCCTCCTGGGGAGGCCAGGACGTGGCAGCTGGTCTCTGGCATTCACGCAGCCACCCTCCAGTCCCCACCACAGGTTTTCGGGTACTTTTCTCTGACCTCCCTTGGCAGTGGCTTCCTTTGGCAGTCCTGGGTCCCCTCTATAAAGTAGGGTGACATCGCATTCCAAATCCCCTCAGTCCTGGTCCCTGGGGTGGGACGATACAGTCTGACTGTGGGAATTAGCTCACTTGAGGGCAGCTGAACGGACAAGTTCCGTATAGGCAACACACTTCTTCCATCTCTGGGACAGCCCCAAGCGGCTTTTGTGAGGCAGCCGTGGAGCCCACCATGGCTGTTCTTAGTGAAGCGTGAGGAGGCGGAGAGGGCAATGAGAAAACTGCTCAGGCTGCTGCTGCTGCTGCTGCCTGGTCTTTTGCTGGTCCTGGGCACTGTCTCTGAGCTGCTTCTGCTCCAAGTTAGTGCCCTACCACTTGAGCCATAGCACACGTCCAGCCTTTGCTGAGTTTACTGGAGATCAGAGTCTCATGGACTTTCCTGCTCTGGCTGGCTTTGAACCGTGAGTCTCTAGGGTGATCCACTAGTGCCTGCCTGGCCTCCTCAGGCTTCGACGAGCTTGGGGAGCCAAAACAGCCATCTCTAAGAGCCGTGCGGCTTCTTGTCAGCAAATGCTCAGTAGCTGGGCGCCCAGGCTGCTTGTACTCCTGAGTGGCCTTCATTTTTATTTTGTCAATAAGTTCATAATTACCCCATTGTAACTGCCCTTGCTGCTCCTGACTTTATACCATCGGAGAGCAGCAACCATTCTGCTCCTGTATCATGAAAGAGGCTGTGGCTTGGCAGACTGCATCGACCAAGAACTCTTTGTAGTTTTCTTTTTTACAAAAAACAAGATCTCCAAGGTGGTGACAGAAGCTGCCCTTTCCTACTCATTTCCACCTTGACTGCAGTTCTCAGTGTATCATAATGAGGGGAAGGGTTAGTAGATAGAGATAAAAACTTGGCTATAACAAGGGGCAGATAACATATGGTCATCATAGAGCTTCTTGTTCCCATAGTACCCTGCATTCCCACTCAAGATGCTTTTTCCCATAATGCCCTGGGTGCCCACTCAAAAATGGCTGGAGCTGGGGCAGTGTGGACACAGCCATCCAGCAATCGGTTCGAAGCACACGGGAGGTGGCAGGGGAGGAGCCTCGGACTGTAAACCGGCCTTTGGGAGGACTCAATGGCCTCCTCTTTGGAGCCACTTGCTCCCTTCCTCTTGCTTCAGAATAAACATGTGCTGTCTGCTTTGAATATGTTCCTGTCTTTTCATTCTTTAATGGGCAGAGAAAGCAAAGCCCACCCCAGAGAGCAGCAGCCGCGTGACCGGTTCAGATGCAGGCCCAGCTGAGCCCAGAGTGGAGTCCAGCTTCCTGACCAGGAGGCAAGGCCAGGAGCATGCTTTGGGCAGCTCTGTGGGAGCAGACACATGACCGAAGTCCCCTCAGGGAAGCGGGGGGCCAAGTGAGCTGTCCAGGCTGACCACAGGCAGATACCGACGAGGCCAAGTAACAGTCAGGAGGACGCTGGGGCCAATGAATCCCAAGCACTCACCAATAAGGCCCCCGGTATTGGTCTCATCATTATTTTGTGTATTCAATCACCTCAAAAGACTGAAAACAGCCAGGAACAGGGGTGAAGGAAGTGAAGGCAGGATTGGGGTTGAAGACCCAGCTAGAGAGACTCCATCTCCACGAGGTGAGGGAGTGGGTTATATTTGTAGTCCTTGCCTTGAGGGGCGTAGGGAGATGAATTCTAGTCTGAGATGGTCCCAGGGCAGAAATGCAGGACTGTATCTGAAAAGAAACTGTAATGACAAGCACTGGGGGTGGGTGCAAGGAGTAGAGCACCTTCTTAGCAAAACAATGGAAGACAGCCAATGAGCAGCTGTGGGAGACTCCCCACTGGGTGCTGGGATCCCCTTTCCCCAGGGAGAGGATGACGTGACATCATCAGAAATTCTCACCACAGATTAACTCTGGGCTTAAGAGGGAGGCCTTTTGGGACCCTACGATAGCTTTCTGGAATAGTGTGAAAAAACACGTTCAGTACATCAGTAGCTCAGGAGATGCATTATGGGAGTCACAGGGCCAGGGAAGGCCCCCTCTGGCCGGGAGCTTTCCCCTGCACAAGCAGCCCTGATACCCTGCAAGCTGAGGCACGGACTGAGACCTCCACATGCAGACAGGTCCCAGCATTCCCAGGGCGCAAAGAGCAAGCCCCCGAGCATCTCAGGACACAGCCTCCGAGAATGCAGAGTGCGGCATCACAGGGAGAAATGCCAGGCTCTTGTCCCATGCACACATGCACACATGCACACAGGTACACCCATATCATGTGCACACGGGCACATGCATGTGCACACAGTGTGTATGTAGGGGTGGGGGGTCTGCTGGTGAGATTCTCATTAACTCGACTGTATTTGACCAGTAGGAGGGCTGTCCTCTGGGCTTCTCAGCAGTGTCTGTTCCACTGGGTGCATCTGGCCAACCCTTGCAGCAGGTGTCCGCCTCTGTAAAACCAAAGGATGGAGGCAGTGTGCCAGATGCGGCCTGCTGGCCGGCATCACCTGGCGCTGCCCTGGATGGAAGCTGTCAGGGGGCAAGAAGAGTTCTATGGACACAGACAGGTGGACCAAACCCCACCCCTGCCTGTGTGCCCATGCGGACACATGCTTTTCTTTTTATAAGCCTTAGGCTGGAAGTCAGATAACCAGCCATTGCTTTCCGAAGTCTGAAGAACCCTCAGATCAAGGGCAAAAACTGGAGGCACCGGCTGCCAGATGAAGCCAGGCACTGGGCAGGAACAGTGGCCAGTGCTAGCATGGCAGCACAAGAACCCCAGACACAGCACACGGCAGACATTTGCATGCTGCGCGCGTGCTCCAAAGCAACACCAATAATCTGCACACTTGCAGCAGAATGTGAACAAGCACGTCGAAAACAATTTTTTAAAGACTTTCACAACACATTTGTTGCTATTGGACTCCTTCTGACCAATACATGTCCACATCAAAACTGAGAGATGACTCAAAGTATGATTATCTGCACTAAATTCTGCAGCAAACTATGGAAACGGAGTGGGACGCATTCCCTGGAGGCGTTGCTTCCCCTCTGGACAGAAGTGGTCTGTCTCAGAACCTTTTCCACAGTACCCATTAAGAAACTGCTATTTTCAGAGCAACAAAAATAAAAGCTTTTATTTGTTCATTTGAATATAAAACAGGCGTTATCACAGATGTACAAAGCGTACTGGTGGTTGAACATACAAGAAGGTTGCTGTCCTTTGCACATAAAAATTTTGTTTGAAACTGTGGTTGGTTGAGTACATGAACTTCTCTAACCAGTCCCCACACTCTGAAATAACGCTGCTAACATTCAACTGATAAAAGGGACCGTTTTCCCCTTGGGTAAAGTGTCAAGCAGGATTAAATATATAGAATAAACAAGCACCATAAGGAATCTGCTCCTGTTGGATCAGGTCTGTGTTTCAACGTTCATCGTGTACCCTCTTTTTGTGCAAGTTGATTACATGGTTTTGGCTGACTTCAAAAGCACAAGGTCACAAGACAAATATATTTTTTTTACATTCTCATGAATGATTTTATCTACAGTACAATTCCTAATACCGAACAATCCTTCTTTATTGCTGAGACGGGTGGTAGCTAAGTGTCTCCTCTCCTTTTGCTTGCACAACTAAACTCGAGCCCAGTCCACCAACTCCTTTGACCCTAAACTCTTAACATGGGAGATGACAGGATACAGAAGAGACCTGCTGGTATCGCTTCCACAGCTGCCCTGCAGCGCTCGCCCTCCTTGGGTGTGAAGTTGATATGGTGAAAGTTAGTTATGCTTGAAGTGACGTCTAGATTTGTTTGGCTTCCTGACACTGCACGTTGCAAGGATATTCAGTGAGGAGTGTCCTATCTGAAGTTTGAGACCTACTTCCCCTTAAACAAGGTGTGAGTGCGTAAGAAAATGTCCTTTTTTGTCTGTGTGCGGTGGGGATTTTCTCCCGGTAGGAAGCAGAAGGCTGTAGGAATGTTTGTCTGAAGCACGGACACAAATACTCATACAAAGCAAGAACAAATAATAGTTTAAAAACCAAGTGATTTGCAAAGATGGAACTATTCTCCACATATATAGACAAAATTTTAAAAATGTGCCACTTTTTAAAAAATAATCTGCCTTGGATCTCAGAAGTCAAACAAAACTCTCTGTTAGCAAAGGGCTTACCGGCAGCTGCATCAAACAAAGGCAAGAACACCATCTACAACACAGGCAAGGAAGAATCTAGATCCCGCTCGGCTGTGGTCTTTGTCATGCATCTGAGTAGCCAGAGTGAGGGCAGGACCAGACGGTGGCAATTGGAAAACCAGTCTGTCTTACTCCTCTGAAAGCTGATTCTTGACTGCACACAGGCCGATTCAATGTATAAACCCACAGGTGAGCTGTGCAAATCAGAGGGTGTGCCAGGCAGGGACAGAAACCAGGGATGTGGCTCCCGCATACGAGCAGGAGGCGGATGCCAGAGCTCCTCTAGATGTCCCGGAGGCAGGAGGGGTGGGGTCTGTTCAAGTGAGCTAGGGCCCCGAGACAGAGGTTTACAGAGGTGGCTGCGTCTTCAGGGGAGGTGACATCAATGATGGGAGCTTCTTCCTCTCAAAGCTGTCTGGACGTCCTGTCCGTTCCTATAGTGGCCGGCAGAGGACAGCTCAGTGAAACCCGGAACATGTGACCACACAGTGTCATTCTTTTCATATCAAGGAAGCAAAAAAAAGGCGACATTGACAAAAAGAAAAAGAAAAAAAAAAGAAAGAAAACCATATTGTGCAACAAATTCTTGCAGCTAAGAAAACAGTGCCATTTACCAGCCTGGAAGCCCACATGTGGTGGGCACAGGCTGGTACAAACGCATTCACTGTCGGCCCCAGCAGAGGGAAACACAGTGCACACCGAGCCTTCAGCTCCACCACCGCCCTAGTGGTGGTGGGCACGCCCCTCACTGGTCTGGGGTTCTAGAAGGAACTTGGGGAGCGGAGCGGGCGAGTGGCAATCCATGATGGCTCGCGAGGGCCGCGGTGGGGGGAGGGGCTGCGGACAGTGGAGGCGCACCATGCAAGTGACAGGTTCTGCATTTAAACTTTAAAATCTCCTTTTTTCATTAGTGAATTTATATTTCATATATATATATTTGTTGTGATACTATCCACGCAAGATAATACAACACTTTTTTTTATATTAGCAAACATTACAAGACTTTAATATTCTTGAATGTTTTTCTCTTTTATACTTCTAAAGAGATCAAAATAAATTAAACATTTTGTACATAATTACATATTGAGGAAGTTAACTTATTTTATCTTTTCAGTTTAGTACAAAGATATTTGCAAGATAGTTGCCGAAATACACCTTATTTATAGTCGCTTCTCGTTCTATGCTCACAGCCAAGGCCAGACCCAGGCCTCTGTTTTCAGCGCGTCTCTGACAAAACGGCTAAGACCCAGCTGCCCGAGGCTACCTGTTAGGTTTCTCGTACCTCAACAAACTCTCCTAGAAGGGTGAGATCTAGCAATGAATGGCTTAAATCAGTAACATTTCCATGTCATTAAGATTTCATGACACATTAAAACAGAGAAAACAATTCTTTGTCACACTACATAAATTGTTTAAAAGAACCCATCTGGAGGGCAGAATGTTTTTTTTTTTAATTGCTATTTCGGCTTAACAAAATCCCACATTGACGAAGAGAGCACTTATTATCCGATCATTAAAAAAAAAAGAAAAGAAAAGGAAGTTTTTGAAATGAGCGTTTCCAACAAACTGAAGGCAGTAATCCAAAGTCCTTCTGAGCAAAATTCAGTGGTAAATTCACATTTCATCTCCACGCCGGGGTTTCTGCTCCGAGAGGGCGGCCCCCCGCCCCGCACTGGGCCCCACGCCCCGCCTGTCCGCATGCCTGGGTGGACACTGAGACGCCGTCCGCGTCCCTCCAGGAGTCCGCAGAGGCCGGGCGGGGCTACATGTTGTAGGCCACGTAGATGGGGTCGAGCTGGTCCGCCAGGAAGCCATCGCGCAGGTGCATGCGCTGCTTCTCCCCTCGGGAGTTGATGGGGATTACCCCGATGTCCACCACCACCACCACCCCCACGACCAGATAGTGCTCCTCCAGCACCACGTTGGTCACCAGCGGGACCAGGTCCAGGGCTTCCTGCTCTGACCCATCCAGCTCCACCACCACCACGAGCAGGTTTGTCCAGGTGAACACCGCGCTGCCAGGAGAGAAGAGAGCCGTGGGCACCGGGGGAGGCCGTGGACCAATGGCCACAGCTGCTGTCTGATTCATCTCACATCCACAGGGCAACCCCAGCCTCCTCTAGCCCACTGCCCCTCCCCATCCTTCCTGTCCCTCCCTTGTCCTCACCCGCCCCTTGCCCCAGCCCTTCCTGTCCCTCCCTTGTCATCCCCCCCCCCCGCCGTTCCTCCCTGGTCCCTCCTGTCCTCCCTGTCCCCTCCCTTACCACTCTGTGACACTTTTGTGTGCTCTGATGACAGAGGTCTCGATGTCGATCGGGTGGTACCTCATCCCCCGCAGCTCCATGGCTTCGTCCAGGGCCCCCACCACGTAGAGCGCGTCATGGCGCTCTGAGGGGAGGAAAGCGGTGAGCGGGGCGGTGTGCCCCCCAGGGTGACATGGCGGTGCAGACAGGGGGTCCCTGGGCGGGATGGGGGCTAGGTGTGCTATCCCTGAGAAGTCTGTGTCTCCCAAGACCAGGCCGGGTGCACAGCCGCTACCTTCCCTTCTCTAAGGGGTGCTGTCTTGTTGGAGGACTCAGTCTCTGCCTGGATCGGCGTTGGCACACTGCACCGTGACACCCACTCACCGGCCCTGCACAGGCCATGCCACCGCGAGTCACCCCTCCCCCCACCACGCTCCCTCTGCCCAACTCCGTCTTGTCAGTGTTTTGTTGCATGAGTCCCAGGGAGAGGGAGGAGCGAGCGGAGCTGATGAATGAAGATCTCCTCAGCACAAGGAGCCCAGAAGTCTTCTGTGCAGTACTGGGCCTCACACTCAGCAGGCAGGCGCTCTACCACTTCTGCCAGCCCCCAGACCTTATTTATTAGCCAAGGCTTCACTTTTTTGTGTTTAGGGTCAGCCTTGGACTGTGATCCTCTACATATGCCTCCTGCGTGACTGAGACAGGTATAGGCCACCATACTTGGCACAAAACTTATTTTCATCTTACACAGGATTCTGCTCACTACAAACTCCCCATTCCTGGAACCAGGGGGGAGTCGCATCATTTTTCAGGGACCAGGGACGTGGGAAGGGGAAGCAATGCCCTGCCGTCTCCAAGCTTTGCAGGGAGGGACGCTCCTGGCCCTTCTTGAGGGACAGCAGGCGCCCCCATTTCTTAACACTTCTATCCGCGCGTGCCGCGCAGCATGGGCTAAGAAACCAGTGTAGCATGCCCAGAATGTAAATGTCACACCAGAATATTCTCGTTCTTTTCCCCAAATGCAGCAGGAGTGACCTCGGGGCATGCTGCCACAGAAATGCTGTGGCCCCTGCTTAGCAGGGCTCCTTTCTGGCTTTGCACTCAGCTCTCAGGACGGACAGACAGACAGCTTCCCCTCGTGGGACACATCTGCTCGGTGGCTGCAGCCGTGCACTTGTCCTTTGGGGCCGGCCTCTCACGCCTCAGGCTGTCTTCCCCGCCCTGGGCAAACCCGGCAGCCACTCACCTCCGCTCGCATCCGTGAGCTCCGTCCTCCGCAGGAAGCCCAGGTAGCCGGTCCGGGCCCAGATGGTCTGGGTGTCTCCAAAACTCAGCCGGGAGTTGAAGTGATCCGACTGGAGAGATTCATCTCCGTAAATCGTAAAATAGCCACTGGCATTGTGGGCGCTGTGGACCCAGATCTGTGAATAGAGTGACGCGTCAGCGTGGGTGAGCTCCCTGGGCTCCTGGGGAGGGAGGCTGAACAGGTTACATTCAGGGAGGTGCCGTTTCCTTGGGCGGAAGGAGCAAGATGGCGTTCATCTCACTAGGGTTTCTGCGGAGATGTAGACCAACTTTCTGAGAGGAAGGTTTGCTACCAAGTCTGTGGCCAGGCCACCAACTAAGCCATGCATCTAGTGGAAATTAATTAAGCAAAATAACTGCAGATTATTTGTGAATAGCATTTGAAAGTAAACCACGGACAAACCATTTGAAAGCATCCATTCGTTTCCTTGCACTTTGAAACGTAATCATTTCTAAAAAGCAATCAGGAAAAATGAAGACGAATTTTAAGTTTTCTTTTTTCCCCTTTCACCTGGCTAGCATACTCCTGGAAACAGATCATGATAAAAACAACCCAATACGAAACACAGCCTAAGAAATAAATGCATGGAACATCAGAAGAGAAGAGCAATGCTGGAACGTTGGGCGTCTGGGGAAATGGTGAGGCAAAGGCAGACTGCATCAGTCTGTGAAGACCATGACAGTTGAGGAGAGCCACAGAAAAGAGCAGAAGAAACTCTGGCTGCATGCATCTCTACGCATCTCCGTCTCTGTAACAGAACCAGACATGTTGGGTTCTTTCACACTAGGGTGCTTACAGCAAGGCAGTATGCAGCTGGCTGTTTTGTTTATTTAAACTGAAAATTGGTGGAGTTTCTTGCAGCCAAGAACTCTGCTTCACTCGCCACTTGAACCCTAGCTTCCAGACTCTGCCTACATCCCTCTTGAACCCTAGCTTCCGGACTCTGCCTACATCCCTCAGGCACTCGACTGTCCATACCGGACCAAATGAAACAAAGCACAACACAGAGAGAAACATACCACTGAAACTAATAACTGTCCTCTGCTCTCCAATACAGAAACGTTCTGGCTCAGGCAACGGGACCCATTCGGCCTTGAAGAGCCACACGGGCAAACCTGCAGGGCCGTGCTTACAGGGAAGCTGCACACTGCCTGGCCTCTCACACACGGAACCTATAAGGTTGAGTCCACCCACAGAACCCACCAGCTGCTGCTGGCGCTCAGGGAGGGGGGACTCGGGATCAGCCTACACACATAAAGCCCACTGCTTGGAGGCGCTCACCTCCCGCGTGACTATGGCTGTGGACTGCTAACAGAGCTGACACGAGCTGCCCACATAGACGGAAGGATGGCTGCGGAAGAGGGCGGGGGTGCTCCCCTCCCCCTTGGGGTCAGTCCTTCCCCACTGTCTGTGCACAGCAAACTGGACACATTAATTCACACACTCTGTTCGCCAATCTGGCTCAGCCAAGCTGGACCAAGAGAGATTGATTCCTGGTAGGAAAATCAGCACGTCAGTCTCTCCATCCCGGCTGCCCTGAGTGGGGAGACTTGTGTGTGTGGCTCTCCTTGTCCCCATCCTGCTGCCCCTGGCCGGAGCAGAGGCCGCCACCTCTGCAGACACCTGGCAGCTCTCCCTCCAGCCTCATTTCTTGGTTACATGGAAAGGAAGCTACTATTATCTCAGTTCTGATCTTTGCATAGGCTTGTGAGATTCAAACAAAAGGCCAAGATGTAGACTGAAAAGGAGCCTGGGTGGCGAGGAATGGTTAGAACTCGCTCACACGTCACCTGTCTGCCACATGCTACATGGAGATGTATTCTTTATATGATGCTGCCATTTTCCTAGGGCTGGGGACAGACACAACCGGGGCGAGAAGGCAGGGGCAACTGTGCTCTCAGGCCGGACAGCCAGGCGGAAGGGAAATGCCTGGTGCCACGTGGGAGGTGGGGCCCAGGCCGTGTCCTTTGCTGCTCTCTGGCTCCTCAGTGGGAACAGAGGCTCATCGTGAAGAAAGCACGCGTGCGACACATGGCCTGTAGAGCGGGCCTCAGGCCTGTCTGCAACCCCAGGACCGAGCTGAGAGTGGCGGTCAGGACCTTGGACAGAGGCTGGCTGTAGGTGAGGCGTTCCTCCCTAGCCAGCAGTATGTGGATAAAGTGGCGGGAGCTGGGGAGCAAGCAGGGTGGGGTTCCATCACAAGCGTAATGGGCCAAGGGCACAAAGCGCCCCTGTCGGCTTTCCGATCAGATGTAAAAACGTAACTTTCCCTCTCCTGCTAACTACCGTGGGTGGCGGCCATAATTCTGGGGGTAGCACCGCTCCCTCTGAGGGTGTCTCTATCCTTTTCCTGATGAAGTACTTCTCAGGCACAAAGAAGGCCCATGAACACAAAGGTACGAGTTGATCAATAAACACAGCAACACATCTAACTTTCTATCTTTCCTGAATGCTCTGGAGAGGTCCCATGGCGTTTCCTTCAGGAAATGCCTCTCTGCAGTCCTGCGTGTTCATGCCATCCTTCCGTGGAAAAGCTTAGAGTGGCCACGTTCCAGGGCCATGTGACCTGCCTGGTGGCAGGTCCATTCATGCGTCGAAGAGAGAAGGAGACGTGGGTGCAAGGGTGGGAGGTTTAGACTAGGAGGATGCGCCTCAGCCACGTCCCCACTGACTCACCTCCCCGGGGTGCGGGTCTCCCTCACCCACGCCCCCCCACCGACTCACCTCCCCGAGGTACGGGTCCCCCTCACCCACGCCCTGCCAACTCACCTCCCCGAGGTGCGAGTCCCCCAGTGGTCCTTTTGTTTCAGGATTGGCAATTATGATCCGAACCCCAGGAAGTATCTGTGTGGAGGAAGAGAAAATGCATGATAATGGCAAAAAAGACAGGTGGGTATCTTGCACGCATGCAAGTATGCATGCACACACACACACTCACACAACACAGCTTGTTTTTATACCAGATGCCATTTCCCTCTGGGAGATGACTTAGAAAGTGGTGTGGCACTAAGTCCAAAGTGTGAGCTCTGTGTCTGCCATCTCATGCCAGAGATCAGTCCTGTGTGAGAGGGACCAAAGGCTGAACCCTCGGATGGCCAATCGTGTCCTAAAGCGGGAGAGAACCCAGGTCTGCTGAACATCACTAAAGTGGCAATTCTGAAGCCTAGTGCGCTGTGCATGCCTACAATCCCAGCTATGCAGAAGGCCACGGCTAGGAGCCTCACAGTTCAAAGCTCGCCCTGGGCAGAAGCACCTCAAGAATAAACTGAAGCACAGAGGGCTAGGGTGCAGCTTGAGTGGCAGAACGGCTGCCTCGCGAGCACGAGGCCTTGGGTTTAAACCCTGAACTGTCAGAAGAAAAGAGGAATGGTGAAAAAAAAAATTAAAAAGATTGAAACACATTAAACAAGCTGGATGCTTTGCTTTTAAAATAGACATGTTCCATTTTTCCATGAATTTTGTGTGTGTGTGTGTGTGTGTGTGTGTGTGGTCGGTCCTGGGCCTTGAACTCAGGGCCTAGGCACTGTCTCTGAGAGCTTTTTTGCTCAGGGCTAGCACTTTACCACTCAGCCACAGCTCCACTTCTGGCTTTTGGTGTGTAATTGGAGAAGTGTCTCGCTGACTTTCTTGCTGGAGCTAGGATTTGAACCATGATCCTCAGATCTCAGCCTCCTGAGTAGCTAGGATTACAGGCACGAGGCACCAGTGCCCAGCTCTGCCATGACCATTGATATGAATGTAATGAGGGAAGGTGACAGGGTGACATGTATGTCCTCCTGACCTTGGGGATCACAGGGAGGAGTGGGCAGGGGCGTGAGGGACAGTAGAAACCCCAAATGACTTGGCAGAATGGCTCAGTAGGAGGCCACTTCTGTGGGGGTGTGAGGAAGAGCCGTGTGCAGGCTGGCGTGTGTGTGTGTGTGTGTGTGTGTGTGTGTGTGGCTGTGACGGGAAGGGGCGTGTTCTCCATGGGACGCCCATGGGATGCCGGCCCAGGTGAAGCCTGCACTGCACCAGATGGTGGCGTTCTCCTCAGGGACACAGAAGTCCGCTGTGTGGTTTTAGCGGTGGTAGAGCCTGAACGGGGCAGTGGTGCTTGCCATGGGGGAACCGGTGCAAGAAGTGCCCTAACTTGCTGGTGTTCAGGGAGAGTCTACAGTCCCAGCACACAAGACGCTTCTAGAACTGTCAAGTGGAGAGAGGTGCTGGCCACTGGGCTGGCTAAGGAAACAAGCCTTCATTCGGGCGAAATAGGTTGCCTGCCCTTTAGGTCTGTGGAAAAGATAAGAAATGCGGCAGGAACTCCTAGCTGCCACCTGACAATCCCCCTTCCTCTGCTTCTGTATCAGTAAACACCCTGATTTTCACCTTGCCTACCAGATGTTCACCATCCACGTCACAGTTTACAACCCACCTTTTAGCTACGTGTGAGCAAGTGACAAAATTCTGCCCACTTGTAGTATTTAATTGTAAAAGAGCTAGGGAACCTTCCCTATGCTTTACAAGCTCTGTCTCCAGTGTTGTTTTTTCTCCTGCTTGCAGGAAGCAGACACTGGAGACCTGAGGTACCTTTGCAAATGGGAGGCATGTAGGGACAGGGTATCTGGTGGATTTGTGAACTCATCGATGCCTACATCCCAGCTTTGCATCAGAAATCATCTAACGTAAACATTATTATTTCAAATTTCATGGCCCAAAGAAATCATCTAACTTAAACATTATTATTTCAAGTTTCATGGCCCAATGGTTCTGACAATATTTCCTCAAGGAAATTTTCTTGGGGAGATTTTTTGTTGGTGGTGGTGGTAGTCAGGGGGCTTGAACTCTGGGCCTGAGTGCTGTCTTTGAGCTCTTCAGCTCAAGGTGAACACTCTACCACTTGAGCCATACTGCCACTTCTGGTTTTCTGAGTGGTTTACAGGAGATAAAGAGTCTCACAGACTTTCCTGCCCAGGCTGGCTTTGAACCGCAATCTTAGATCTCAGCCTGAGTAGCTAGGATTATAGGCGTGAGCCACTGGCGCCCAGTGGGGAGTAGATTTGACAGAGCACGAGTCTTGGCATCTCACATCCCACACGCTGCCGCCCCACCCTGCTGGAGATGGGAGCTTCCTCCCTGGATACGTACCTTTCCCGACTCCATGAGAGGCAAGCTGTGGGGAGACCCCCTTTCTACCAGCCGGACTCTGCAAATGGAAATGTACACCATCACCGAGCAAGTCTGCAGGACCTCTGTCCCCTCCTGCCACCTTCTGAATGCAGGTGTGTTTTCTGAGGGGAAGACGTGTCTCCCCTTCAACCCCCACTGCCCACAGCCCCAGATAAGTCTCCTTTCCATGTCACCATGTCAGTCTTTTCTGCGTTCTCGTGGGCGTCGCACCATCATTAACAGGGGGACTCAGAGGCGCAGAGTGGAGGGACCCAGCCAGGCCTGCACACAGCGAGGCCTGCACTCAGCCTGTCTGTGACTGGGTCCTGGCCACGGGCAGCTCAGCACAAGGCCCAGCTGTGCCTGGTGCAACAGCTCCAAGCCGGTGGGGGTTTGAAAGCTGGACCATCTTCCCTGGGAAGATGTAGCAGGCTTCATGGAGAAGTCAGCCTCTGTGTGTGGGGGGTGAGGTGGGGGGGGGGGGTGTGTTATATGTCAGTCAGGTGGGCTGCACCTGACAGTGGGACAGGCGCAGTGTGGTTGTTTGTATCATGGGAGGCAGGCAGGAGGAGGCCTGGCAGATGGAGGAGGAGATTCTGCCAAGGGAAGCTGTGCAGCCAAAGGAAGGCCAAGGCCTCTGAGCGGGAGAAGAGCGTGTCTACATCTTGGGGAAAAGTGAAAGAGGTTGAGGGGGAGAGTGGGAGTCCCGGGGAAGGGGCCCACCTCAGCCTGAAGTGCTGGGGGAGGGAGCTGCAGTGGCAGAGAAGGGACAAAAGGTCACGGCTTTGGGCTGGGAAGGTGGCTCAGTGGTAGAGCGCTCGCCTTGAGCTGAAGAGCTGAGGGACAGCGCTCAGGGCCAGAGTTCAAGACCCATGACAAAAAAAAAAGAAAAAAAGAAAGAAAGAAAAGAGCATGTGGGGCATAACATAACAACACGCTCCCCAGAATCTGCTAACTGCCCGCCAAAGTCTGCACCTCACACAGACACCACCAGGCGTCTCCACGGCCAACAAGTGTGGCATGGCCAGTCCAGCTAAGTGTCTGCATAGACACAGCGAAACCCTCCTGGGCATCTCAATCGCTTCTCTTGGTTGGGGCAGAGCTTTCTCCAAAGATAATCTCATCTTGCTTGCTTCCCTGCCTCTCCTGACCATCTGTACAAATATGCACCAAGAAAATAATTTTAAGCCTTGCTAATGGACAGTTAGGAGTCTGGAAGGAGAGGAAACCTGGCTTCTAACCTTTCATACAAAGTCCTGCACAACACTGTCCACTCATGTAGAGAAATGTAGGCAGAAGGTTGACATTTTACGAAGTGTGAAAAGGCACCTGACCAAAACGGCCAAAGGAAATAAAGACCCCAGCTCCGTGGTGTCAGCTGACTGTGGCGGGTCAAGCCACTTGGGGAGTCACAGAGGGCTCAGGAGCAAGCCAGTTTTCTTCTGTGAAGTCTGAGTTGGCGTGGCCAACCCTACCACCCCCCCGCTCCCCCGAGAGCCATGTGCCAGGCAGCTGCGAGAGAAGAGGACAATGAGAAATATGGCCATCACGCCCGCCTGCCATACCTGTCGTGCCTCAGGGCTCTCATGTCAACGTAGACGGTGGTGGGGTCGGGTCCCGATGTGCCCTGAAAGCAACGACACAGGGTGGTTAGCTCAAGCTGCCTGAGCTGGTGAACAACGGTGTGGTAAAACCTTAAGCTGGAGAGACGAGAGGCCAAAGCTAAACACTGCTCAGACCACACCACGCTAAGCTACGCGCTAACCTCGGTGTGAGACCTCAAGCGCTCAAAGGCGGCGCCGGCTGCCTGGACCCTGCCTCTCACGAGTGGACTCCCAACCCTCACACATCTGCAGATGAGGCCAGCCCCGTGGCAGGCTCCACCAGATAAAAGGCTGGAATTGTGGGGAAAGGTCAGCTGGCAAGGGCAGACTGTCAAGGACAACCCTTGTGGGGAGACATTTACTACATGCTTCCAGAAAGGTCTATTTTTAGAGACGCAGATAAGGAGGCAGCTGGGTGACATGAACTGGCAGCTCAAGGAGAGAGATCTGAGAAGTAACTGTTTCGTTCCTGGCATTCTACGTGTGCTCTGCTTCTTGCTATTTTTGTCCCTGACATCCTTCGGGAGGCTGCATGTTTATCCACGCCAGCTGAGCAGAACTCTGGTCTGAGCTCCCTGACCTTATTTAACACAATAGTCCAGAAATCTTATCTTGGTGCCACAAATCCCTTAAGAAGTAGGCCGGGTTGACTTCCCTCCAGAGCTTTCTGTCCATGTCAGAGCAGTACGGTTGAGGCTGCCTGACAGATCGATCACTTTCACATACATTTCTTTTTCTTTTTTTTTGTCGGTCGTGGGGCCTGAACTCTGGGCCTGGGTGCTGTCCCTCAGCTCTTCAGCTCAAGGCTAGAGCTCTACCTCTTGAGCCACAGTGCACACTTCCGACTTTTTTTGCTTATGTTGGTGCTAAGGAACGAACCCAGGGCCTCATGCATGCAAGGCAAGCATTCTACCTCTGAGCCACCTTCCCAGCCCCTTTCACATATATTTCTTAGGAAGGAACTACAATACCTTGGTTAGAAATAGAGGGGACCGACAATTAATTGAGATTCCAAAAACAAAAACCTTTTAAAATTTATTTGGACTACACTAATAGTTTTCAGGTGAAATCTCAATGTTGAACCCGAAGTGTGTTTGAATATAAGGATAAAAATAAAGTCAACTCCATAAAAACATGCTACTCAGAACTCCTGGCCTCTGGTATCTCATCACCAAGATGGAGAAAAGAATAGCACATGCAAACCAGCTCGAAGCGGTATATATGGTGACAGAAAGCTCAGGACATTCTTTCTAGCCTGCGGCTGATTATTCAGTGAAGCTGTGCTATAGATGAGGGCCGAATGAGGAACTGATCTGATGTTCTGAGTGGTGTGAGACACGGAACTATAGGTGGTCAATTAAAAATTAAAACAAAAGGAGGGGTGAGAATGGCGGGGGTAGGAGATGGGAAGGGATGGGAAGGGGAAACAAAGGAGGAGGCATCGATGCTTGATAAGAAATGTACTCATTATCTTGCCCATGTAATTGTAACCCCTCTATATGATATTTTCACAATAAAAAAAAAATTTAAAACAAAAAATGAAAAAAGCAAACCAGAGAATAGGTCAGAAGAAGGAAAGGATGGAGTACGGAAATGAGCCTGGACTGGCCAGAAACCCACAGACCACATCCAGTGGAATTACAGCATCTGCCCCGCCTGCACCAGCCCTGGGAGGTATGGACCCTGACCACAGGGTCTGCAGGGCCCCCATCCATCTCTGAACTCAACTTCCAGCCTGCCACAGTGCTGGAGGTGGCAGGTGGAGGTGGGTCGGTGGGAAGGAAACGAGGCATGGTGTGATGAACAGAAAAATCCCCTACCTGCTCGGCCTGCGTCCACAGCCTGTGGGGCTACAGCAGCGGGGGTGGGTGGGAACAAGTAGAGAGGAGAGAACACCAGACCAACAGAAACCAGACGGAGAGGACACACACAGACACACAACAGAATGACCCAACAATTCAAAATGGGATGGGGGGGAGGATGGAGAGGACAATGCAGAAAGCAGGAAACAAAGTAAAAGAAGATCAAAAACAATGTCAGATATGGAAAGCATTAAAATTAAACACTGTACCGTTAAAGGTGGGAAAAAAGACATCAACTTATCCACAGAGCAAAGAGATCAATAGGTCAGAAAAGAGTCATAGGTCACTAAGCGTGGACATATACACGTCTGGAGATTTTTTTTTTTTAAATCAGGTGGTTTTACTAGGTGGTATTACAGTGTGGTTTTATGGTGTTCTCATCTACTTTCTTTTTTTCCCCCCTGAGGAATGTAAAACTTGTTTTATTGGTTAAGTTCACTGACCTTTTTATCTTCATGTAAACAGCTCAACTTTCTAAGACCATGGAAGTCTGGGTGATTTTATCCTAAAATGTGGGTGCCCAGCCCTCTGCATCTGTAAGACTAGGTAAAAGAAAAGTGGCGAGAGTTCACGTGAAGTCCAAGGGACCCACACTGAGCTCTCACACACAGCAGCTCAGCGGCTTAACGAGTGAGGCGCACCCCAGGGAGAATGCTGTCTTCATCATCACCGCTGTTTGCCCCAAACAGACACATCACCTTCCATCTCTCCCTCATTACCCCCGTGTTCCCGCCTGCTACACAAGCCATGGTGGGAAAAATCCAGAGAGCAAACTCCCTGTATGCAATGTGTTTTCCCCTAGGAAAACTTGGGTATCTATTCCAAATATTCCCAGGTACGTACAGAACATGGAAGAATCTTCCTAGCTGGACACTTGAATCAATGTATAATTGTTCTTTGTGTGCCTGTCCTCAATGAAGACAACTGGCAGGCAGACACCACACACCACAGCAGCCACCACAGCAGAATTCTTACAGCTGCACTGTGTTAAGTAACAAAGCCAAAGTGAAGAATTACCACTACTCCAAAGTACAAAAGCAATGGTACTTAAAAAAAGCCAGCCAGGGAAGAAAGATTTACAAAAGACTCTATCTCCAGCCAACTAGCAAAAAGCTAGGCTGGAGGCCTGGCTGAAGAGGCTGAGTACCTATCATGAGCAAGCAAGCTGAGCAAGAGTACAATGTGCTCAAGCTCTAGAGCCAGCACAAAACCAAACAACCCATCAACCAAATAACCCTCCACCTCCAGCCTTTTCAATACATTTGTGTTTTGCCCAAATCCAACTTTTGTTTCAGTGGTTGGTATTAAGTATCTTGGCTGCTTTAGGACTAAGTCATGGCAGGCGACAGACTTTCAGGGAAAGAGAGGGTTCTGATTATTTGGCTCAGGAAAGATGAAAGGCAGTGGAGATCCAGATCCTTTGCTGGACCACGCCATTTACTGGCAAAGAATCAGCTTTTCCAGGGAACAGCCAGATAAGACTTGCTTGCTTCCACAGCATTTTATTGAGATACAAAGCATGCCTGTTTGTTTCTGGATTGTCTGTTTCTGCCTTTAGCCAAGTAGTGGTGAAAAGAGTTCATGAATGGCTGAGCCTCAGCTCCTGTCAGTCAGTCAGTCAGTCAGTCAGTTTGTCTGTCTCTCTCACCCTTTAGGAAAAGTGCCTACTAGAGGCTCCAGTTCTGGGGACTGCTGAACCACACTACAGTAGGGCAGCGTTCAGACCATAAGCAGCACGGATGTTTCTGTGGCAGCTGCTGAACTTCAAAGATGCGTGGCAAGCTCAGATGCTCATAGGTCAAAGCACAGACTGAAACCCAGACCCTCTCCCTAGAGGTAATAAGGAACTGTTTGTTCATTGTGGGAAGAGCTAGACAAACTGAAGGAATGTGTGAAGCCATAGCACCATTGTGTCCTGGGACCTTAAATGCTTTCTTTCCCCCAAGCTGGTATGGGGCTTGAACTCAGGGACTCATACTCTCACTTGGCTCGCTTGCTCATAACTGACACTCGACCACTCGGGCCATGCCTCCTGCCTGGCATTTTGTTGGTTAAGTCAAAGACTTTTCTGCCTAGGCTGGCTTTGAACCATAATTCTCCAGGTCTCAGCTGCTTGAGTAGCTAGGAGTACAAGCATAAGCCACTGGGGAGTAGCACACCCCTCTGGTTAGTCCACTGTTCCTGAAGGGACTGGTGGATAAATACACTCATCCAGTGGCGGAGCCAAGAGTAGAAATGTGTTTAACGCTGTCATGCCTGGAGCCTAACGCATCTGCTATCCAAAAACGCAGATAGATGAATGATCAGCATTCCTCTTTTCTGTCCTTTGTCCCTAACTTTACAGTCCATGGTAGTAAACTTTGTAATTTTGTCTATAGCTTACAGAACACCAGTGATGTGACGGGAAGAACAGCAGAAGTCAGCTAGAAAACCCCGACTTCAAATTGATCACAGTCACTCAGAAACTCCGGCTCATCTCCTAGTTTGAGTGAGTCTGTGAATGCCATGCTGTGGTGGCTTGGGGGTAGGTTGTGAAGACAGGTAAGAATGGGGTTGTGTATTGACCCTCGACAGCCAAAGGGCAGCCAGAGGGGTGGGCCGGTGAGCCTTCTGTTGTCCTTTTTGGTCAACAGGCCTCTGAAATCTTTTTCTATACTAGGGAACTCTCTCACTTCCTGAGTCCGGGGTGAATGCAGACCCCTTCTTTGGGGAATAAACATGCTGGAAGCGAGCCTGGGGGAGAGCCCCAAACCACAGCAGGAAAAAAAAAATGGTTCTCTCATTCATGATAGTGCAAGTGTGTGCACAGCAGGCAGGTGGAGGGGAAGCTGGGAGTGGGGGAGGAGAGAGCTCGGGGCCAGCAGCCAGCTGAAGACATGAAAACACAGGGTCCTGTCTCCTAAGGACACGATGGTGCAGGCCTAAAACAGGCCAGGAGAGCCCTGCGTGGTCCTGAGAGCGTGCTCACGACACCGGCAAACTTACTTTACAGGCTGCTTTATTTGTTGCTTACAAATTACAACCCTGATTGATGCACCAGGTAATAAGGGAATACTGGGCCCTTAAACTCGAGTATCAGTTTTTTCATTATCTGAGACAACATATATCAGTAGAAGAGGGTGTAAAAGTTTCAGCTGAGTATGATCAATTCTCTGGAGTGCACAAAAATCCCCAGCGGCATCTTATAGTTATTCTTGCTTCCCTCATCTAAGTGCAGTGTACAGGGAAACCAGTGAGTTTGAGAGCTGGAATTAATGAAAGCCTTATTGTAACTATTTGTTCTTAGAGTTTAAGATTTATATTGCCTATCTGAGCCTTCCACATGGTTTCTTTGTAACAATCAATGACTAATTCCATCACCAGAGTGGTTGTATTTCTCTTTCACTGGGTGAGTGTCAAGATCTAGGGCTGATTAGAACTGTTACAATTGATTGAAATCTACAACGTTATTTATTGCAAAGCCTCCTCTTTGTCACTCTTTTTCTATATAATAAAAATCAAAGTTCTTGTTTAGTTTTTTTTCCCCTTAATTAAGAAACATCTTTTGGAGAACAGAAGACGTCTCATTTTATCTTTCTTTTTCTGCTAGAAGGAAGGTTACTTCTCTGTTGATTCCAGCTTTGAACAGTAATTGTGGCTGGAGGAAATGTCTTTCCAATGAAGGTTAATAAACAAGTGACACTACTTAATAGTACTAAGAAAAAATTTATGTTAAAGTTAATTAAACCCAGAAGTCATAATTCGATCTTCCCAATTGTCCACTTTAATCATAGCTTTACAAACTGAAATTGAATCACTTTTACAGCTCAATTCTGGGACGTGTCATTCGTGAGAATAACAAATGATTCATACTTGTAGATTCTTTCTGTTTTAGTTCATAGCTTTGTCAATTAGGAAAGTTCACTTAATTTTTCTGGGCCTACTTTTCTCATCATAAAATTGACTAAATTTTATACTTCATGACTAAGGAAGAAATAACTAACTTTTGTATCCAAGAGCCAACACACTGGTTAAAGAATACATTGGCAGAATACATTGGCTTTTGTTTTGTCTTCAGTGTGTATGTTTTTTCTCTTCCATCCAGGTCTCTTGGACTTCATGTATGGATTTGTGAATAACAGTAAACCCTGATCTTCATTTGCAAGGAAGAGTTACAAATAAAGATCTGAACTTTTTTTTCCCCATGGTGATTTATACCATAAACTCATTTACAGCATAGGGTATTCATTTATTCCACACAATCAGTGAATGCTCAGGAGTGCTCTATAATTTTATTTTTCTCTCAGTCATGGGGCTTGAACTCAGGGCCTGGGTGCTGTTCCTGAGCTCTTTTTCACTCAAGGCTAGTGCTCTACCACTTGAGCCACAGCGCCACTTCCGGTTTTCTGGTGGTTCATGAGAGATCAACTTTCCTGCCCAGGCTGGCTTTGAACCTCCATCCTCAGATCTCAGCCTCCTGAGTAACTAGGATTACAGGCGTGAGCTACCGGTGCATGGCTTGTGCCCTTTACTTTTTACACAGGTCACTGGGCCCTAATCAATTGAGCATTTAACTTATGCAATGAATGTGCATATTTACATGCCTAAGACTGGTGATTACAGGAATCCAGTTTTAGCACTTGATGGAATGCACTCCCACCCAAAGGTGGCTACATAACTGTGTGAGAACGTGCTGGGCCTGGAGGAAGGTCCTTGGTAAGAATGCGCTCGCTGACAGGGCTGCTCATCACGTACAAGAGACAGGAGACAAATCTATGACACAGAGATGCAGACCTACAGGTCTCAGAGGGAGGCAAGGCTCACAGCCAGAGGAACTGAAAAGGTTTCAGAGAGACGGAGGAGGAGCCTGCGCTCCCTGTGAAGGGGGACCCAGGGGCGTCTGCACACCGACTAGCAACGTCAACTCTGGGTTTAGTAGCCATATTGTGGGATTGCTTCTACGAAAGAATGTTACTATCTCTTATTAGAAACCTACAGCTTCATTTTCTCAGCAAGCATGGATATTTATTAACTATCTCCAGGGCACTGAGGACACCACTGAGAAGGAGCTGGCATTTCAGGCACCTCCTGAAAAGACCTATTCCCCAACTTCATTCTTGAATGTCACCTGAACCAATCTGCTTACTTTCTGAGTGTATAATTGTCTTCTATTTGATGTTTCCCTTCCCTGTAAGCCTTCTTAAAATATTCTATATTTAAATGGATAGACATAAATGAAGGATAATAAAGAGTAAATAAATATATCTATTCTATTTTTTACATCTATATAAGGCTTTAAGTTTGTATAACAAAATGGAGAACTTTGTCACCTGTTACCACAGGCTAACATTATTATTAAAGTTAATATGGCACATACCCTCTGCTTCTCTCCCTTTACTCCCAACAATTTAGAAAACACAAGAGTGAGCATCACTTCAGCTAACTGTCACGCAATTTCTCCTTGAATTTCTGACCTGTTTCCACCAGGGGCCCAGTTAAGAGAGGAGGCGGGAAGAGACTCCCATCCTGGCTGTGCCAGGGAGGAGACGATACACGAGCATGGCTGAGGCAATGTGAGGGGCAGATGCAGACGGCCCCAAACATTAGAGGAGCTGATGTGGTAAGATAAGCTCGGGTTTCAATCACAAGGACAGATTTAACTGGGTCTTGAGACGAATTCACTAGCTTGTAATTTCTTTGTAAATGGAGCTAATTTGAGGAGAAGACTGAAACAAAATACATGCAGATAAGATTTTGTTTTAAAAAAAATAAAAAAGCTGTTTGGCCAGGCACCAGGGGCTCATACCTGTAATCCTAGCTACTCAGGAGGCTGGGATCTGTGAACTATAGTTTCAAGCCAGCCTGGGCAGGGAAGTCTGTGAGACTCATCTCCAACTAACCAGCAGTAAACAGTACGTGGTGGTTTGGCTCAAAGTGGTAGAGCGCTAGCCTTGAGCAAAGGTAGCTCAGAGACAGTGCCCAGTCCCTGAGCTGATGTCCCAGGACTGGCACCAAAAACAAAAACAAAAAGACATGAAAAGAAAAAAGTAGTGAAGATGGTCAAAAGTATCCTAATGTAGGAAACAAATTCTTCTTTGCCCACTGCAAGGCCACTCTCTGAGACTCGCCTCACTCACATTCCCAGAGTGCAATGTAGTTTTGCAATTTTAGGTTAGTGTGACAAAGTAAATTCTTCAGTCTGATGAACATTGTGGAATTCTCCCTCCTGAACTCCTGTCTGTGAAAGAGCAAAGTGTGGAATCTCTCACAAAGTTGCACAGCAGAAGTCTGCAGAAGTGCCACCCCTACTACAAAGATTAAAAAAACAAAAACAAAAACACACCAGAACAAGCCTAGGAAAGCTAGTTTTGAAGAATGGATAGGAATAGAACTTAAAAAGAAAGGAGATATGCATGTACCAATCACAGCATTTAATTAAAGAATGTAGCGAGGAGTCAGCCAAAGAAAACAGTGTGAGCAGGTTTGCCCTGTACACCTGCTACTTAAAACAGCTGTCACTGCTGTCACTGCTGTCACTCAGCCCTGACTGGTTTTCACGAACCTCACCTGTAAGCAAATCGCCAGGTTCACTCTACAGCCAAAGGAAGTGCTCACAGCCCGTGGATGGAGGCCCAGGTCTTTAAACAGCTTTGAAAAAGACTGTGTGAGGGCAATTCTGGGACGTTCTTCAGCCACCACCACACATGTCCTTACTCGGGACAAGTCCAGTCCTCGTGCCTGGAAGGAAGCACAGGGTCACCAATGCAGCCTCACGCGCCTGTTATGCTCACCTGTGTGAAACCAGAATCCCTTCACCCAGAGCAACGGCAACACATGCAACACTGCCCCTCCTCTGCCCGCCTGCGTGTCAAACAATTCCGGGATGCTGGTATTTTGGCACAGAAAGGGTCCACTGCAGTAAGAGTTGTGAAGAGAAAAAGGTGAGAAAGACCAGCTTCCTGAGGAAGGAGCAGCATTTGTGGGCAATCCTGAGAGCACCCATGTACAAGAGAAAGGAGGAAGCCACGTGCTAAAATGTAGGGATGTTGAACTGAAATGTGCAGACAACTTCATACTGGCAGCTCTCCACTGACATCGCAGGGCACAGGAAAGGTCAAGCTAAACTCTCCTTACCAAGTGCATCTCAGTTTCTACAGTAAGTGTGTCCTTAATTATATCTCAGCATCTGTACCACACACAGTCAGCTGAGCCAAGTGGGAAGGATCCTGGGAAAAGGAATTCAGCAAGTCCACACAAACACTCACAGTGGTGAAAGCTTGTGCGTTTCAGCTGAACTGGAGAAAGACTTGCTGACAGAAGGGCCTGAATACGGTGGTCCAGTGAAAATGGTGTCTAAGTGAAAGTAGAGCTTTTAAAAGAGGCCTTAGCCTAACCAAACCATCAGTCCCTCAAGTGTTCAAGTACTTGAATGAGGAGGACACACAATTTATGATAGTCTTTCTTTTTCCCTTCCCTTCCCTTCTTTTTTGTGCAGCTGAGGACTGAATCCTTGGCCTGTACACAGTAAACATGGTGCTTTAGACACATGGATAGCTTTGGCTAGCCTTCAAATTAGAGTCTGCCAGGAACATCAAGATCAACAGCTAAATTCAAACCTTTCTAGGTAAACACCAAAAGTTCCTTGAAAATTTTAACTCATCAAGCAAGGGAAAATTTGGATCTTTCAAGCCGATCTAGTGAAATTTAAAACTCTTGCATATTTACACTCACGCATATTACTATTTGTGGCAGGCAGAACCATTCACTCATGCTAAAACAAAGGCAGCTTCTCCCAAAAGTGATATGTAAGTCTCAGGCAACAGATTATAGCATTTTTAATTTAGAAGGATGGTCCTGTGCTGCCTTCTCCCAGCCAATGTCCCCTTTGGGACCAGAGTGCCCCGATACACGCCTAAACTGAGGCCAGGAGCACAGCTACTCACCTTGAGGGACTCTGTCTGTGAGCCCAGGCCCTTGGTGCAGAGCTCCATCACGGAGTAGGAGCAGAAGGTGTCCCGGACTTTGTACTGACTCACGGCGAGGAGCCACAGAGCGGGGTTGGTCTCCAGCTCAGAGGGCGGGATGAGGATGGACTGGTGCCCCGAGTACACACTGCAGAGGCAGAAATGGGGGTCAGGGCAGGTGAGCAGGGGGGGTGGGCAGGTTAGGGCGGCGTTCACTTGTGGGAAATGACTTCCCACAGGCCTCATCGTGTGTCAGACACAGACAGGACAACCAACTCTAAAAAGTGAGGCCACATTTCTGAAGATATTCTGGAAAGCAGGGAAATATTTTACCAAGCCATTAGCATTTTCAACATTCACTGGAAGCATCTAACAGCTGTGATGCCCTTGGGTTTCTCTCAATGCAGCTACATTTAATGAACTCTACCCTCTTCTTGGTAAAAAATCACAGGAATCACTTTTCGGTTCAAAGTCTGCAGTTAGCATGGGAACGGGCATAACATGGACACTGCCCATGGTAAGCTTTGTTTTGTTGGAACAAAGCCGTTGCTCATTTATTCAAAAATTGTCTCTGGCAGCCTGGGCTACAGTTTGCGAGAGACATCATGGAATGAACTGTTAAGCAGCCAATGAAGGAAATGGGTGTCTATCCCTAATTTAGAAAACTGACATCCAGAGCAAAAGGAAGAAAATTAAGACAATTAAGACAGTCCTTCTTGGTGACTGAATCCTTCTTGGGGTCTGAACTCAGGCCTTGCACTGGCTAGGCAGGTGTACCACTTGAGGCATGCTCCTAAATTTTTTTTAATGTAGTTATTATTTTTTAAGTCATGACTGGAACTCAAACTCAGTACCTGCCACTTTTGCTCACTGGCTAGCACTCCACCAACAGCCACACCTCTAACTCCTCAACGAGTTATTTTTGAAGTCAATTTTTTTCCCCCACACTGACTTAAAACCTGATCCTTCTCTTTATACCTCCCAAACAGCTAAAATGACAGGTATGTGCCACTAGGTTTGGCTTATTATTTGAGATGAGAGCTCATAAACATCTTTGACCCTGGTTGACCTTGAACCTTGATCCTTCTGACCTTCGCTTTGTGGGTTGCTAGTGTTACAGATGAGTCACTATACCTGCCTTGGTTCAATCTTTTAAAGTTTTGATGAGTATAATCCAAACAGAGCATTAAAGAGAAGAATAATATACTCATTCTTTAATTTTATCATCACGTGATAGCCCATTTAAAGAAATAAGAAAAAAATGAAAGACTCCAAACTGTAATTATGTATAAAAAGTGGATTTAAGAGTATTTTACAGCTGGGCGCTGGTGGCTCATGCCTGCAATCCTAGCTACTCAGGAGGCTGAGATCTGAGGATCGCGGTTCAAAGCCAGCCCGGGTAGGAGAGACCGTGAGACTCCTATCTCCAAAAAACCACCAGAAAACCGGAAGTGGTGCTGTAGCTCAAGTGGTAGAGCGCTCGCCTTGAGCTGAAGAGCTGAGGGACAGCATCCAGGCCCAGAGTTCAAGCCCCACGGCCGACCAAAAAAAAAAAAAAAAAAGAATATTTTACAAAACTACACCTTTAATGTTCCGGTTTATTACTACAAAGATTAATAGATGCCATTATAATAAATACACTAGATAATGATGTAAAACTTAAAAGGATTTCCAAGCTGTATCAAAGTTCATAGATGAACTAGCATACTTTTATCATGACAGGATCCAACTGGTTAAAGGCATGTAAGAAAATTCAATGAATCTTCAAAATCTATTTCTAATAAGACCCTTTGCACAGAAAAATAACATATTCTTTTCAAATAACTAATGATTACAAGTAACTTTCTACCACACAAAATTTGTCTGAAGTCTGTAAAAGTAGCCTTTTATCCTAATATTCTTTCATCTCAATCTGAGGGGTATGTGTGTGCACATCCCAGAATTGGGGCTTAAACTCAGGGCCTTGCACTGTTGCTTGGCTTTTCTGCTCCTATAGAGTGTTCTACTACTGAGCTACCTGTCCACATCAGGCTTTTTGCTGGTTATCTGGATATAAGAGTCTCTTGGATTAGGCTGGTCTGGCTTCAGACCAGGATTCCCAAATCTCAGCTTCTGAGTGTAAGCACAGGCTGCCAATACCCAGCCAGACCTGAGGTTCTTTACATTATTTTCTTTCAAGCTTTCCGGTGTTTTGTGTACTTGCTTTCTTTGTAATTACATAATGATATTCCTCAAGTGGTCCTCTAACACACACTTTAGGTCTGGACGCAAACCACTTCCTTAGCTCCAGGAATACTGTGAAAGATCTAAAAGAGGAATTTTACCTGCAGAGGCACCAGAGGACAAACCCAAGCCCACAGTAGGGGTCCAGACAGATGGCCACTTCTCTAGAGGGGTAAAGCTCACACTGCAGCTTAATGGAACGGCAGAAGGCACTGGTGGCTGCGTGGGACATCTGTAAGACAGGTAGAAAAGGTGTGTGGAGGCTGACACCAGGTCCATGGACACATTGCTGCTGCTCCTAGGAAGCCTCCAGCATCGCGGACACCATGGTGTCTTGGTCAAGGGTTCAAAGGCGCATGGCTGCAGGCTCTCACCGTATTCCCAGATTATCCCAATCTTCTAGGCCCTAGCAGCTCCAGCAGCTGAGGTAACAGGGCACTGTGCTCTGCGCGGTGGCTAGACAGGCAGGAGCTCCTGTGCCCCTGCAGCTGCCTGTGCAGTGGGCTAAGAACATGTCACAGTTCACTCCACCTCTGCAGGGGGAGACTGCCCTATTTTTGTGCACAAGGAACCCCTCACCTTAACGTTCAGGAAATGGGAGGCTCAGAGAAGGAAAGAATGTGCTGATGGAAGGAAATGGAATGTGGCCTTCCTGTAGCAAGCCCGGTGCTCTGCCTGCATGGTGGCCACCCTGCCAGGGGGCAGCAGCTGAAAGCCAATCTCACCTGCTAGCACTCAGGTGAGGGCCAAGCTCTCCCCTCTTCCCAGCCCAGAACAGACACCAATAGGAGCTAAGGCACACTCTCAAATAAGTAAGCCTGCCTCATTCATGATTTCACTATGCACGGTTTTGCCCAAGCATGCTGAAAATAAATAAGAGATTCAAAGATGTTTCCAACAAAACCATTTTAAATTCCTGCATGTGTGTTGTACAATTCAGTGAGTCCTGCATTATTGGTCTGCATATTTTATTATCTTTAAGTAACTGTACAAAGCAGCTGCCACTCACAGAGGCAGTTGATGAATCCAGGGCGTCCTGATCATGGTCCCCCCTTTCCACATTCTCACCCCTTCCAACCCAGCTGTCCTTTACATATCTTAATTTTAGGTAGGGCATTGAATTTTTTGCCATTTAACCAGCAGATCATGTGTACAACGCATCTTGAGGTGCGCCATCTTCCCCCTCTTTCCCCCACCCCTTCCCTCATGTTTTTCAATTCTGCGGTATAGATAATGAATTCCTGCCTGCATTCTCCCCCCTTCCCTTTTCATTCTTTACCCCTCTTCCCTTGGTCCCTCTCTCCCCTCTTGCAAATACTCATTTCCCAATACTTGTCTGGTTGGGCTTTGACTTAGTCTTTTTAAGGATTTGCACGATTTGTGCTTTCCACAGAGTCCTGTGTTATTGTCGGTTGTGTTCAACTGTGGTGTGCTCTGCTTGAGTGGCCCCTGCCCTGGATGTGGTGAAAACAGACCTCCGAAAAAGTGGTGCCGGAAGCAAGGTAAAAGTGATTGTGCCGAATCTTAGTAAGAAGGTAAAACGTTAGGTGTGCTGAAAGGTGGCATGTTTTCAGCAGAAGCAGGGTGGCATTGTGGGAAAATGAGGCAGTGTCCGCGTGCAGGGCTGAGCCCTGTACCCAAACAGGGCCTGCCGCACACCTGCACAGCTGCAGCCTCCTCCACAGCACTTAGTCTCTTTGGAATCTGCGTAGGATGACCCAGGGGTTCCTGGACTGCATGTGTCTAACAGAGTCAGTGTTCTCGTGGCTTCTATCCAAACAAGACCAAGAGAAGAGGTGACATAGAAGCAGCACAGAAGACAGCACCAAGTGCCCCAGTGTTAAAACGTGTCACAAGTTTATCTGAAGCATCAAGTCCCCCTGTAAGAGGACTGGTGTAGAACACTGTAATAACCAAGGAAATGTAGCCTAGTGCCTGGTTTTCAATTCATCCATCACTCCAGCAAGAGATGAGAGACCCTGGGAACAGGCAATCCTTCCACTGCGACACAGCAAGGCACTGTTAGAAGCTGGGCAGGCCCAGAATGCCCTCCAGTCCAGATACCTCACTAAATTCATTACAGGATAATCGGCACAATCCTCCAGATGTGAGACACAGTTCCTTCTAGCTGGCTTTTGGAGCCACAGTATTTGCTGAAAGGGGAAATGACCACCTTAAGGTGGTTAGCCCAAAGCTAATCCTAGATGTGATAACCTTTATCAATCTCAAGTAAATGTATATTGGGGATCTTTTAGGAGCCTCTAAAGTGCAAAGTCATATTTTCTTATTATTACTATTACTATTATTATTATTTTGGTGACCATGGGGCTTCAACTTGACCTGGGCACTGTCCTTGAGCCTCTTTGTGTTCAAGGCTAGTGCTCTACCACTTGAGCCACAGTGCCACTTCTAGCTTTTTCTGGATATAAGAGTCTCATAGACTTTTCTGCTCAGGGTGGCTCTGAACCACGATCCTCAGATATCAGCCTCCTGAGTAGCTAGAATTCTAGGCATAAGCCACCAGAACTCAGCTAAGGTCATATTTTAAGTAGATAAAATGATGCAATTGAAACAGATAAATGCACAATCATGTTTTATATGAAATTGGACATTGCAAAGCCATTGAAGAGCAAAACTTTTATGCTCTGTAATCAAGTGATGTTCCTGAATAAAAGCTGAAATTAAATGAAAAATCTTTTCTGGGTAAACTAGATTTTTAGGCAACCCAAGAGACCATGGATTCCATGCTCCACAGACATATGCCAGATAATACCAAATGGATTCTGTGCCTCTCAGCATTTGAAGCATACGGATTTTCATTAACTGACATCATAACATATTTTACTTCAGGTATTCATGAAGTTAAACAGTCAAAAGTTTAAGAAAAACCTTTTATAAGTTTGAAAGGAAGTCTAGCCATCCAGTTCTTTAGAGTTTCAACAGTGTATAACTCAGATGAAGTGGGATCACCAGGAGGTGATAAACATAGATCCCATCCCAATAAAGTATACAAACATCTTTGCTGAATCAGGATTTAACATGACAACTCCCACTTCCGTACACTGGAAAAATGATCAAAAGAATGCAGCAAGAGGCTCGAGAATAATTTCAGTACTAGTAACTAAGTCATCTGGTTTTGAAAATGCTTCTTTTCAAAAAGCTTTCGAAAAATATTTTATTTAAAACTATAATTTTATTAATCTATATAATATTTCAAATTCCACTGAACAGCAGATAAGAGTCTGAGAACCAAGTGAAATCATGAAGGCCACATTTCCCAGTCTGACTCAGAGGCAGAGACACTGAGGACAAGGTATGGAGGCAGAGAAGCTACTGGTTTAGGGTGACACAGTACCTGGACATCACCTGAGCTGTGAAGAGCCTAACGCTGCCTTAGTATTTCTGCTCTTCAATACGGAAAAGGATCATTGCAGCTACACATACTGAGCAGCAATCTGCAATGAAACTTCCACGTGCAGAGATTTAGAAAACAGAATTTGAGAGATGGTAAGAAAGGAAAACATATGCACAATTCTATTACGGATGAGGAAGACTGTGGCAATGTAAAGAAATGACTTAGCCTCATGAACTACTGTCATTAGCGCCATGTCACACGCACGGCAGCTTGCTTAGAAAGCATAGGTACTCCTCTTTCCATGTGTCACCACAGTTAAGGACAGGAGCTGACAGTCGATGCATGGCCTGTCGGTTGGACTTCACTAGTGTTTGTGTTGCACAGACACACTGCTCACCTTTACGCCAGCTAGCATCCCAGTTGTGGACACACTAAAGTCAAGGTAGGCCAGTGTGTCTGGGTTGGAAGGTTTGTAGATCTGAGCCGGCCGCTTCTTTGGCAAATCATCTGGTGAAGAAAAGAATCTATTAGTCTAGCTTCCCTAATAATCAAGGGCCACACAAGCAAGTGCGCATATCCAGCGTGCTCAAGAGCTGACCTGTGTCCAGGATGAGGGGCCACGTCCTGACATCTACAGCCGCCGCTGCCTCCCTGGACCGTAGCAGTTTACAGATTAGTTGTGTGGTCATCAGACAGGCGGAGCGGCTCACCTGGGGGCCAGAGAGACAAAGATGGAATGAAGGACTGCAAACCCGGAAAGACAAATCTCTGCTGTTTTTCACACGTGTGCCTCATGCTCAGGATCTACACTTAAACCACACAGGTTAACAGGAGGATCAGATTCCCAAGGGCACAGCTTCTGGTGAGGAGCAAAGGTGCCGGATGGCGGGATCTGATCATGGATGCCACAGGTACAGCACAAGCCACTGAAGACCCTGTTCCCGCATGGCCTAGGGTGGAGATGCGCCTGGTCTCATGAGCACATCCTGAAAAGAGCATCAAAACCCCATCATAAGTGTCGCACAGCTGGCCACCAGGCTCACATCTGTCATCCTAGCTACTTAGGAGGCTGACATCTGAGGATCCTGGTTCAAAGACAGCTCAAGCATTATCTCCAACTATAACCAGTAAAAAAACGGGAAGTGGAGCTATGGCTCAAGTGATGGCCTTGAGTGAAAAAACTAAGGGAAACAGCCTTGGCCTGAGTTCAAGCCCAGCACTGGCATACACACACATCTCCCATACACACACGTGCCACATATATGTTGAGATGCATACATATTTTCTGTCCTGATCATCCACCACAGAAGTACTCCAATATGACTTCAAAGGGTCTCCACTGGGTGACAGGACACTGCCATTCTCTGTTCAAACTAACTTTGCTTCTCATGGCTCCTCTTCTAATAGGGGAAAAACCCATCCTCCATTTTCCTTTGATTTTCCTGGTTAGGTACAGAGGGAAGTGCTTCATGATGGCAAGGCTGGCCTCTCCAGAGAGCTGCCTCCTCTAGAAGACCTTCAGTGTCAGTCAGTGCACGGCAGCCCCTGCTGACTCCCTGAAATCTGGCTTCGGAAGCTCGATGAGAAGCAGTTTCCTAGGCTCCCTGGAGGTGGAGACCATTTCCTCTCCCATCACTTCCACTCTATGCTCACAAACTCAGCAGACAGCAACCACCCTTGGGGGCTTCAGGTCTATGACCTGCAGCGCGACCCGGAGAGGAGGCGGGGAGGTGCCCATAGTCCTCCAGGTGTAGTACCTCCACAATCATCTTGACTGTAGGCAGCGTCGTGGCGATGTTCTGGGGGTGTGGAGGCCGGACAGTTATTGGCACACAGCCTGCGTACAGGCAACCATAAAATGCTGCGATGAGGTCTATTCCTACAAAGGAAGAAAACAGAAATTATTAGTTGAGGCAAATATATTTGTGTGTGTGTGTGTGTGTGTGTGTGTGTGTGCGCGCGCGCGCGCACGTGCGCGCTGCTTCTGGGGCTTGAACTAAGGGCCTGGATGCTGTCCCTGGGCTTTTTCTGCTCAAAGGTATTACTCTTCTCCTTGAGCCACAGCTCTACTTCCAGGGTTTTTAAGGTTAATTGGAGACAAGAATCTCATTAAGCTTTCCTGCCTGAGCTGGCCTTGAACTGCACTCATCAGATCTCAGCCTCCTGAGTAGCTAGGATTACACGCACAAGTCATGGGTGCCCAGCAACAAGTCACATTTTTAAATGACCGCCATCCTTGGTAGTGTGAGTTCCGGTCTGGGAAAAAAGTCTGGTCGTGGGTTAAGCATCCTAACATTATCAGACCCTTTCTTTCCTTCCTGTGCCATTTTGAAAAGCCTTGGTGATCATGTTCATTTGGTCCACTCAGTTCAGCACAAGATACCAAGCAACGCATAAGTTTCATTTTGAGTCATTTCTCTCAGAAGTTACCTAACTATATAACTATGAAGTCAGCAGTAAAAGAGTTAACCACCACGGCTTCCATGAGCTATCTTGTTTACCTAATGAAACAAACTTAGATATACAAGTTCTGGTTACACATTGTTTTCTGTAAGTCTCTGAAAGTCGTATAACAGTAGCTTTGTCCCTGTGAGTGGGGCCAGAGATGCGCCCTCTCACAGTCTGAGGAGAGTGCCCGTTCTTGGCAACCACCCAGCAACTTCGCACTGAGTGCCGAAGGGGGCAAGGGAGCGGCTCCTCTACAACGGCTGGCCTGGCCGCCCCACGGGGGGGTCAAGTTGCATGCTGCTCCTCACCTGGCGGGTAGACCAACGCCACGTGGTCTCCGTCCTGCAGATGGCCCCTCTCCATCAGCATCACAGCAATCTTCTCAGCACGCTTGTGCAGCTGGACACACGTCAGAGAGTTTGCTATCGTACCCTGATAGCACAGAAGCAGGTGGTTTTTGTAAGAGTCTGTACCTCCATTGCTTTATTGGCACATAGTTCACATAGCGTGCAATTCATTTTTCCACAATGTGTAATTCATTGGTTTGCAGTGTGCTCACAAAATTGTACAACCATCACCATAGGCAATTTTAGAAAGTTCTCATCATTTGTTGCCACCACCCTTCTATCCAACCCACATCTCCTTCTATCCAACAGAAGTCAGTCTCCAGGTAAGAAGAATATGATCAAAGGGACATTCAGGTATTTGGGGGTTAAAACAAGGTTTGAAGTAATTTAGCCAATTATCATCTTAACTTAGGAAGAGATGAATTAAAAACAAAACACTCCCAGTCATTTTGTGATTGTTGTACAACTGTCTTGGGCAGTAAGAATTACTAGTGGACATGTAGGCTCAAATGGTAAGAAATAAAGACTGACAGTAAATTTTTATTAAAAAATCAAGAAAAGCAAAAGGCCAAAAAACAAAAAAGCAACAATGAAAAAGACATTCTAAAAAAGAAACGATAATCAAATGTATTTTCAAGTAGACTTTTAAACTATGTAGAAACAAATAGAAAAGAATGTTTGGACTTCTAAAAAAAATCTTCCGATGAGTTACTAGGAAAGATTAGAAGCAAGAAGGGTACTTAGAAATACTAAAAATATATTCAGTGTTCTAAATTGCAAAGCTAAGTATGAGTTGCAAATCACAGAGGTGCAGTGGTATGCATCTGTAATCCTAAGCCCTTGGAGGCTGAGGCAGACGGACCAGAGTTTGTGGCTAGCCTAGGCTACATAGTGAGTTTGAGGCTAGCATAACTCAGAAACAAACAACAACGTGTGCATGTGTGTACGCATATATACACACACACACACACACACAACTCCACAAATTATAAACACTCAGCTGGCAGCTAATAGTAATCTAAGTGATTCTGCTATTTCTTTGTTCTGTCCCCCAGCTCGCATGCTTGAATGTCGCCACCACTCGGGGAATGATCTACCATATGACATTAGTGCTCATTCCCACTCTGTGAGGGTCACAACCTTTTGAGGTTTTTCTGTTGTACATTTCACTTTCCCAAGAGCTAGTTGTCAAGAAAATATAAAGTATTCTCAACAAGTAGTCCTATAAAAGAACAGCCACCGAGTCTTAGAAACAGCCACCATTTCCTGGTATTCTTATCCTATGTACAACTCACTTCTATTTACTACACAGGCCATAAGAAGACATGAATGAACACTCTGTGAATGTCTCACACTGTGAGCCAACTTGTCCAACCCCCTAAAAATGAGCCAGTGAGGATTAGTGGCAAATTCATAATCCATTGAAATACTCATCCAAGATGGAGGCCCTGATTATGTGGCCACAAAAACCAGAAAGGCACTGAGGACACATAGTAAGTGAGAACATTCTAGACACCTTAAGTCATTCATTAGGACAATGAGTGTTACCCATTTCCTCCTACCATTTTAAATATTACTCTTAGAAAACATGTGTGGCTTCACCTGAACTAGAAAGTTAAGTGAACATTTTGCCAAGTGACATGACCTGCAGATGTGCAGGGCCGGGTGTGACAGCACACCAAGGAAAACAGGCGTGGGAGAGAAACACAGATGCTTGCCTCTGAACTTTGTAGAGGGGTGCTGTGACTCCGCGGACAGCTCAGGGTAGGACCATCCACACACTGAGAGCTTCGAAAAGCTTCAGGCATGCCTAACAGGAGAAGGCAGCCCTGGCCCAGACTTCTGCATGCTAATCTAAAGCAGATACATCTGTGGAATTGCACTCTGGCTAACTGCATCTGTTTTCTTCACGGAAATCATTTTACGGCATGGGCGTCAGTTCCAGTAAAGATTTCCACTGAGAGCCCATGTCTGGCTATGACAATGACTTAATCACAGGCGCTAAAGGGAGGTGATGGCCACAGGGTCAGAACAGCTGGACACCAAGACTCTGCCTCTGGCATCACTCCATGAGCCATGCATGCCCCAAAGTAGATGGCATTAGAAACCTATTTCCCTTCTGTTTGACTGTACATCTATCTGCTTTGGATTTTTGTGTCTTCAGGAATTCATGGCTTTTCTTGGGACACCCCCTAATATGACTAGAATCTCTGCACAAAGGTATTTATCTATGCTACAATCTGGGGACAGTGCATTTGTTTTAGGCCATGTTGAGGGAAAAGTCTTGGAAGTGGTTCAGGCCTTGACTTGGTCTCCTGTGCCTTACAGTGCATGGAGAATCTAAGCAACATGGCAGCAGAGAGGAAATGAAGAGAGCGAGGAAGGATGTTCAGTTGACAGGATCTGAGAAGGCACTGTGCTTGGGCCACAGGAGATCAGCTCAAGTTATCGTCACTTTGGAGGTGACATTGAAAGTCTGGAGTGAGCCACTGAGACAATGGAGAAAGAATGAGCAAGCTATGGAGAGAACAGGAAGGTCAGGGAGAAAGCTTGATAAAAGGGAGACTTGGGCAGGGCCACAGCTCCTGAGGAAGGTAAGCAGAAAACTTGTCTAGAAAGGGAGACCTGTCTGAATTCACAGGATCGATGGGTCAGTGGAGGAAAGAGAAGGAAGTGGGCACTTTAGATACACAGACTTGTAGCCAACCCCACAGAGCTCTGGATCCTGCCAAGAGCACATGGGCAGGTGGAGCCTACGGGCTGCTGTGGCAGGGGCTGCTTAGAGAGGAGCTCCTCACCATCTGCAAGCACAAAGCCCCCAGGACACGCAGGAAGAGGGCCTGCCCCACATCTCATGCCTCTTCCAGGGACAGAAAGGCCTTGGGCAGACACAGGGCATGATGAGCCGTAGGGACATCTCTGCGCCCAAGACAATTTCAAAGAGTGTTCCTGAGGTGGAGGGGTGTGGTGTGAACTAAACCATATGCAAAGAATGGTCTCAACCAGAAACCTGGACTGAAGCTTCAAGGGGCAGAGAGCCATGCGGGTGGCCTTTCCTCTCATTTGTGACAAGCTGGTTGCCTTGCACGGGAAGCGCTACCTTCACACACTGAGATTTTGATGACAAGCAATGACCATAATTTTGTTTAAAGAGTCACAAGGGCCTGTACTTGCAGAGAACTACCTTTTAAATCCCCGCCCCCTTTTTGTACTGGGGTTTGAACAGGGTCTTGCTCTTGCCAAGCAGGTGCCCTACCATTTGAGCCATACCTTCAGCCCTTTATGCTTTAGGTGTTTTTAAATAGGGTGCTGCATTTTTGCTGAAGCCAGCCTGGTCTTCAACCTTCCTGCTTACGCTTCCCGCATAGGTGGGACAATGGATGCATATCACCATGCCCAACTGTTGGCTGAGATGAGGATTTGCTCACGCTTTGCCTGATTTAACCTTGAACCATAGTCCTGTGATCTCCACCTCCTGAGTAGCTGAGATTACAGGAGCAAGTCCCTGCACCTAGTTTCAATGCATTTTTCAAGCTCTGTTTTTGTAGTGAAAAGAAAAGTTTTCAAGTATGTTAAGACTTTTACATTTAACTCCTATTGTCAACATTTGCTTGCATATTTAAGGCATTCCTAAGTAGTAGTAGAGGATAATGTTTAATGATTTTGATTTCCTGATGGGAAATATAAACATAACCTTTGTACTTAATATAGTGGGAATGGTTTTCATTCCTAACAGTCTGTCATTAATGCCTGACTTCATATGTGTTAAAAAGCAGTTTGTAGCCAAAACAAAAACAAATATTTCAAGAGACTGCAATTGTTCTCATTAATTACACATTTGGGGCTGGAAAGTTTACAAATATGGTTGCTAAAATACAACTATAAATAATAGGCATATATATTTAAAAAAACAACCCTTGGGTAAAAATGTCTTAGTCAATAAGGCAGAGAGAGAGAGAGAGAGAGAGGAGAGAGAGGGGGGAGAGAGAGAGAGAGAGAGAGAGAGAGAGAGAGAGAGAGAGAGAGAGGAGGAGGGAGAGAGAGAGCGTGAATTCAGTAAGACTGAAGGCAAAGGTAGGTTAAGTCAGCAGTATCATGAAGAGCACCTCCCAGGAACCAGCTCAGCCTCAGCAAGGCAAACCATCAGGGACTGGGGCCAGGATGCCTCACCCGGCAGTTGAGCAGCGTGTACAGTACGTGGTCGGGGGTGGTCTGCGCCCTCCACTGCAAGACCTCCGAGAGGAACAGGAACTGCAATGGTACAGATGGGTTAGGTCTGGGTGGGCACTCTCGAAATTTAAATGGGTTACAGATGGGTTAGGTCTGGGCACTCTCAACATCTAATCAAAATATCCCATCTCAGTGTAGTTGGATGTTTCTACAATAGCATGCTTTCTTCCACTGGGAAATGAGGACATTTATTTTTAGGAAAACCACGAACAAATGAATAAACAGGACAAGCAAGTGCTAGTAACTTTTTCCCTATAATGACTTAGAAGTCAATGCACCTGGTTTAGGGACTGGCCAAGTGGTCAGGGTTAGGTAAGCTCTCTACAAGCCCGTGTAAGGATGGCATAGTCACTTGCTCTATGGGCAAGGGGAGCTGATACAGCAAGCTCTTTCACACGGGCTGCGGAGATGCAATGTTGTATCTAACATGCTTAAAGGGCTCGATTAAATTTATGTTTTTAGAATGGCAATTCTCTGGTGTCATCAAATTGCACTGCAAATTACATGGATTATATGCACTGAGTCGATTCAGTGTGTAATAAAAAGGACAGTCCTATTACATGTCAGGATATAGGAAAGAGCCATGAATAGTGCTAATCGGTTTTATTAACAGAAATGTATTGGGGGGGGAGGAGATGATGATTGAGTGCTCTGAAGTCGTAAGCTGTATGTCGCCACACTGGTGATATTTACACCGCTGGTCTTGCCACATTCCCTAGTAGTCTATGAAGAACGGGATAATCTTTTGGCCCTGGGAGACCACACCTCTCTCACTGAGCTCTAAGCACTGTCAGGGGTGAATTGTTCTAACATGGACTCCCAACTACTTAGGACAAGTTGTGACCCATGTGTGTGTAAGGGGCTGGAGGATTTCTCCTGCAGGTGCAGTGGGAAGGATGGAAAGACGGAAGCCAGGAAGCAAGCTCTGCATGGGCAGTGTGTGCTTCCCATCAGTGCTGGCGGGGACAATCAGAAGTGAGTGGAAAGGGGACACTACGATGGTTTCCAAATGTCTAAGTCCTGCCAGTTCTCATTTTGTACCATGATAAATTTTCTGTAACATCCTCTAAGAAACGTTTTTCTTTTAAGCTTACAAGATGTCCCATGGAAGGCAAGTGGGAGGCAGGGAAGGTTAACCAGAGATGAACCCACGGTGGAGGGTATGGAGGGGACAGGGAGGAACTTGGGGCAGCCACTCTGTGATTCGGCATCCACTTCCGCTCCTACCTTCCGGGCCTGGTCGTTGTCTTCTATCTGCCCCAGGTCTCTTCCACTCGCTTGGGCAATCCGCTTCCCAGACACCAGGTTTCCCACCATCACAGAGGCGGGGCCGATTTCTGGAAGGAAAATGGACGTATGACCTTGCAGAGAATGGAATTTCTCAAGACATGGCCCCCCAGCTTGATCATAAACTTCCTCTCCAGAAACCCTTTCCAAGACAGGTTTAAATGGCAGCTACTGTAAGAGTTTTTAAAAAGGATGGAAGGACAACGATGAGCAAAGACAAATCGACCTCAATCAGAGGCTACATGGAAGTATTTTCATCACATGAACTTCCCCTAGCTCCCCTCCATGCCATTTTCCCCAGTTTCCAGTGAGTGTGAACCAGGGGCTGTGGGTGTGCATTCTCAGAGGCGACAATAAAAATGACAAAGAAGACAGAATCTAGAAACAGGATGTACTTCACTGCTAAGCAATTAACTTTCTGGATGTCTGTTCTTATGTTATTAATACACTTCGTGAAGACTGTTGACCTAAAACAAACAAATTACAATACATTTGTGTGTGTGTGTGTGTGTGTGTGTGTGTGTGTGTATGTGCATGTGTGTGTATGCGCACGCGCATGCATGTGCTGGTCCTGGGGCTTGAACTTGGGGCTAGGGCAGCACTGCCCTGAGCTTCTCTATGTTCAATGTTAGTGCACTACCACTTGAACCACAGTGTCATTTCTAGCTTTTTGAGTAGCATATTGGAGATAAGAGTCTGGGCTGGCTTTGAATAGCCTTTTTTTTGGGGGGGGGGGGGTCTGGTTGTGGGGCCTGAACTCTGGGCCTGGGCGCTGTCCCTCAGCTCTTCAGCTCAAGGCTAGCACTCTACCATTTGAGCCACAGCGCCACTTCCGCCTTTTTTCTTTTTGCTTATGCGGTGCTGAGGAATCGAACCCAGGACCTCATGCATACAAGGCAAGCGCTCTACCACTGAGCCACTTTCCCAGCCCCTGAATAGCCTCTTGAGTAGTTAAGGATTACAGGTGTGAGCCACTGGCTCCTGGCTATTATATGTGTGTGTGTGTGTGTGTGTGTGTGTGTGTGTGTATGTTTGTGTGTGTGTGTATAAAATGTATGCATGTACATATATATTATATATATGTATATATATGACTTGCTGATAAAATATAAAATATATGGTATATACATACATTACTCTCTAAATCTATCCCAAAAGGTCTATATATTATATATATACACACACATTTTGTGTGTGTATATATATTATATATATGTATTATATATGTACACATATATGTATTATATATGTACACACATATATGTACTTATATATTATATATACACACACATATATGTATTGCATATGTATATGTATGTGTATATATATAATATAGACCTTTTGGGATAGATTTAGAGAGTAATAGGGTAGAAGGGACATACTAGAAAATTATTTATTCAAAAATTTAATTGAGGGGCTGGGAAGGTAGCTCAGTGGTAGAGCACTAGCTTTGAGCTGAAGAGCTAAGGGACAGTGCTCAGGCCCAGAGTTCAGGTCCCATGACCGGACCACAAAAAAAAAAATTTTTTTTTATTGACTGATAAGGTTCTTCCACAAGGGAAGTGGAAGGGTGAACCAAAAGGCTACTATAAAAATCACAGTCCTTTTCTGCTCCACTGTCACAGATTTAATAACTAATGCTCTTTCCTTGGTTTAGGAGAACATTTTGAAAGAGAAAAGCTATGCTCCTTTCAGATAGCTTTTCTTTTCTGATGAAAATTTCCTAAAGAAACTTTAGAAACTCAAATCTTCTGATGGCTAGGAACCCGGGTTCTCTTCCAAGTTTTGCCAAAGTACCACTGTTCACATCTTCTTTTCAGTAAGCACACATACACAAAGCAAGGTATGTATATATGACTGGAAGAGTTTAAATGTTCTAGACATGTCCCATTGTATCACAGGTCGTGAGTTGGGGATGAGGATAGGAAGGAAAAAAGAGAGAAAAAAAGGAGAGAAGGAGAAAGAACGGCAATGTAAAACAGAAAAGATACCAGGTGCTGGTGGTTATGCCTGTAATGCTAGCTACTCAAGAGGCTGAGAAATGAAGATCATGCTGAAAGCCAGCATGGGAAGGAAAGTCCATGTGACGTATCTCCTATTAACCACCCAAAAAGCCAGAAGTGGAGTTGTAGCTCAAATGGTAGAGTTCTAGTCCTGAGCACAAAAAGCTCAGGGACTCAGGGACAGCATCCAGGCCCCGAGTTCAAGCTCCAGGACCAACACAAAAAGAAATAAAATAAAACAAATGATAAAGATGACATCATAAATTTCATTCTTGACTTGCTGATCAAATATAAAATGAAGGTACTATTAAGTAGAACTATTAAACTTGACAAGGGTAAAGTTGTTCATGAATCAGGGTACATGTGTATGGTTTACTACATCCACATGAAAAGCCTGCATCTGCAGCTAAACAGAGATGTTTTTTAAAAAGCAGGCTATAGGTCAAGGGGCGTGGTGGTAAAGAACAAGGCTTAGCATGGCCCAGTTACCATGACAACCACCCAGACAGTCAGCCTGGCCTCCTCTTAAACACTTCCTGAAATGATGACTAATGGTACAAGGCAGTTCAGGGCCTGATATCTTCTAGCTGACTTGTCCAAGTAAGAACAAGAGTTGGGACACTCATTCTTTACATGTGGCTGACCACGCTGAATATGTCACAATAAGTCAACTCATCATATTACTCTAGGAGAAGCCATAGACTTTTGGGCTCTTGTCTGCTACTGTCTTAGGTTTTAGGGCATTTGTAGGAGCTGTTAAGTTTCTGTGGAATCAGAACATGAAGCTGTGGACAGGGGAAATTCCTTTTCTTTCTTCTTGTGCCACAATTCCACCTTATTTGTTGAGATGGGGTCGGTAACTTTTCTCCCAGGGTTGGCCTCAAACCTAGATCTTTCTAATGTCTATCTCCTGAGCAAGGGGATTATAGGCAGAGCCACTGTGCCTGGCCCTTCTTAGTTCTTAATGAAGTACTTATGAAAGAGAAATAGTTTCTTCACAGCAAATCTGGCAATGTGCCATTTGCTGAAATGAATGGAGCTGCAGGAGTGGTAGAAGCATGTGTTAATTGCTTCTGCGTGAAAATTAAGCACATCCAGAGTCAGAATTCTTGCTTATCAGCCGTTTTTCTCCTATCTTCAGTATTTGTTGGAAATGTATCTTAACATTCTCCATGAGGATGGGCAAGATGATTCTTCTAAGAGGCCAACTTGGAAATTGGCCTGAGCTGGTTTAAAGCATTGAAACTAGGAGGGAAAGCAAGACCTCAGGGTGACGTGCCCTTTCTCCTTGCCTTGCTGTGGGCTCCTCTGCTACGGACATAATCTCCCTGACTGGGGTTAATTTCTGCTTGTATTCTCTGAAGGCGAAGTTTTGGATCTTAGGCACCACATAGGCTTATGGGCTTACTTTGGCCAATGGTTGCCTGGAGACCAGAGGTGCGGTTGCTGCAACTCTTAGCAAATCTCTTCCCATCTGAAATTGCTGATCTCTCTCTCTCCTCCTGTTGACGTGGGGTTGGTGTAGGATATACTTACAGCGAATCACTGCCTCGATGTAAAAATAGAAAGTGGAGACCTACCCCCGAATCTGTGTATATCTAAGATTCATATTTCACCTTTCTGGTTCCTATTTACACACTTATCTTCAAGCCAGCAACTTTTAGATTACTGGATCCCTGCCATGCGCTGCTTGACAAAGTCACATGGGGAAAGGGGTGGACATTACTCTGAGAGAGTGACAAGATACTCCACATGAGGATGCTGGACAAGAAGCAATGTCCGCCCCTAGGCGCTCTATCCTAGCTGACGGAATGTCCTCAGGTGGGCTGCACTGTGGACTGGAGCCTCCTTTTATAACTGTTACATTTCTGTTACCTTAGATGATGGGTGACAGGTTCTCTTTAACACTGTTTTGGCAGTACTGTGGTTTGAGCTCAGGGGCGAGTACCTACGAAGCAGACATCTTACTGCTGGCCAATGTCATGTCTAGCTGGGGTGGACTCTGTATGCACTGGATGCTGTCCTTCCAGACCACGTTTCGTACCTCTTGATCTAGTGCGTTCTCACAATAAATTCCCTGTCACTGATACCTAGGTGCAACCTGATTCTCTCTCTTTCTCTCCCCCCTCCCCCCTTCTCTGCCAGTCCTGGGGCTTGAACTGTGGGCCTGGGTGCTATCCCTGAGCTCCTTTTGCTCAAGGCTAGCACTTTACCACTTGAGCCACAGCATCATTTCTGGCTTTTTAAAATGATTAATTGGAGATAAGAGTCTCACAGACTTTCCTGCCCGGGCTGGCTTCAAACTGCGATCCTCTGATCTCAACCTCCTGAGTAGCTAGGATTAGAGATGTGAGCCACCAATGCCCACTACACCCAGCCCCCATTCTCTTTATGGCTAGGATTACAGGTGAAGCCACCAGGCCTGGTCCAGACACACTGTTGTAAGAACAAGGTCACAAATAACATAGAACACTTCACGTTCAATGTGCTTTCCTGTGTGTGGTGCCCTGCTCCTCAGGTGGCCACACAAGACTCATGATGACCTGCCCACGTGCCGTACAGGGCTGTGTCTTGTCAAGCCCACTTGCTGACCAAGTACTGGTATTGTGGTAAGAAGACTGCTCACATGCTTGGCGCAAACATTGCTGAGTGGCCTTCTGCTCCATAGGGCTGCTTCCCTCCAGCACACCTCGAGCACAACTGCATTTACTGGGAGGAAGTAGGTTCTTCTGGGGAGTTTGCGGCCATGTGGGGGGCTGGTGAACGGGGGGGGTCTAGGAACCCCCTGGGCCTAGCCCCAGTGAGCCTGGCGCTCCCAGCATGGCTTGGCGGCCCTAGGTTGCGTCACGCGGTGCTTTCCCACATACCTGGTTGCTTCTGCCGCGGCTTAGGTAGGTTGGTGACACAGGTGTGCGGGCACATGAGCACGTTGCAGGGGTGCAGAGAGCCCTCCAGGAAGAGCTGCTTCGTTTCCGACAAGTGGATTCCCCCAAGCGGGGTTTTGGGGAGCGTGTTTGCTGGTACCAAGGCCAGGCAATACACCCCAACCTGATGTATGCTGTCAATTGCCTAGAAAATTAAGAAAGAGATAATGTTGAAACAGGGGCTACTAAGCCACACACACACAACCACACACACACACGTATCATTATCATTCTGTTGGCAGTACCACAGATTGGGCTTGGCATTTCCTGAGTGCCCTACCACTTCAGCCATGTTCTGAGTCTCTGCTTTTATTTTGCTTTTGAGATGGGGTCTCTCTAATATTGCTTAGGCTAGTCTTGAACTTGCAATCCCCTGCCTTTGTATCCTGAGGAGCTGGGATTACAGGTGTGCACCACCACACTCCCTGCTTTTAGAAAATATTTATACACACAAAATGTTGTTTCTGTGATGTGAAGATGTGATGTGAAGAGGCCTTTGAGTATAAAAATGGCCAGGCAAAGAGCTTTCTCAGTAAACTTACCACACTGAGTAATTTGACACATAAGACTAGTGGAAGATCATAAAACACAAAAAAAGGGAATTTGGAAAAAAGAGAATATTCTCAAGATCCTAACAACAACAGCAAACCTTCCCCGTGCCCTTCCTTCTCAGTATGAGGGTAGGGACTGGCTTTGCAATTCCCGGCATGTTTCCTCCACCCCCCTGTCCTCAGTTTGCTTCCTGTGAACCCCATGGATGGGTTTCCTGTCCAGTGGGGGATAGGAGGAAAGGGGAGGAGAACCACATAGCAAACATGGAGCCCACAGGGAAGAGCCATGAGCTACAGTGAGCACGGGGAGCAGGAAGGTAGGAGAGGCAGGCAGCGCCGGGTGAGGCTGTGTGACCTGGAGCACCCTGCTCATCCACTGGAAGCTGTCTTCCTCCGTGGAGTCTGGCCTCTGCTCTGCCACGATCACTATCCTTTCATCGTGAAGGACGGTCACTGAGAACACGGCTATCCTGCGGGACAGAGGGGAACGCGCAGTGAGCAATGGAGGTGAGGAATTCAGAACCCTGGTTAATTAGGGAGTGAGGGGCTCACAGGTGCCTGCGCAGACGCAAACTCATCCCAAAGCCCACACACGGGCAGTGCGAGCAGGACTCGGGGCCTCTTGAGTGTCATTCGCGGCTCCATGGAGGTCTGAGCACTATAGGACAAGGCTTGCTCCTTTGGGAATGGACAGGAGGAGCTCTCCATGGGAACTGCTGACACCCGAGATGTCCTGCGGCTCACTTCTCAAGTCTGCATCTGTGAACTCATATTCTCCGCAGCAGCAAAGATTTCTGCTTGCACCTAACGGGTCCCTGCTGAGTCTGCTGCTCTGTGTGGCCAGCACAGAGATCTGGCCACTCTACTGCGCCTCCTTTGCAGAAACAGACCCTGGTTGTTGAGAGAATTCCAAGGTAGCCAAGTTATACCGGAGCTGGAGCTTTCTGGAGTCCTGTTAGCTTCCTAAACTAAATCAAACGGAAGACGTTGCAGACCTCCTTCGAAGTGGCATCTGCCTCAGGAGCTCTCAGCTCTCTATTATAGAATTGCTGATTCAAAAAGTTTTGCGCATGTGTATTTTTATTTAGTTTATAGGTTAATTTAATGGAAGCATATGTAGGGGGCTCCGGAAATCTCTATAAACCCTTGCATACGCACAATGGAGATGAACTCCCGGTGCTCCAGTAGCTCAGACCATTTGGGAGGGGAAACTACGTCAAAGTGAGCTGAAGGCATGGGTGCAACCTCTCAACTCTTCGTAACGAGGAGTCGGCTACAGGGCAGCATTCCGAGTTCACAGACGGGCGCGACCCACCTTCCTCGGTAGACAAATTTCATGGGCTCCACGGCCAGGGCTGTCGCCACGACGTCGTCAGCGTTGTGTCTCCGCCCGCTGACCACCATCAGGCCATCCATCTTGCCCACCACAAAGACCAGGCCCCCAGGGCCGACGAAGCCCAGCAAGCCCGTCCTGATAAACGGATACTCGCTGATGGGGGCCCCGGAGCTCGTCATGGGAAAGACCTGGGCAGAAGTGATCTCCAGTCAAGACGTCTTTTCAGGTCTGCAGGTCCCATCTGTCCCACATCCTGAGGTTCTGGTGACAGCGCGTAACTTCTGCTTGACACCCGACTGACATGGGAACACCCTCCCATGCCCTCTGTGCCCACCTAACCCAAGCAGGGTACTGTGCCTGCAGGCCTGGGCCATGCCCAGAGGCCCGGGGCCGACTCCTCCCCCAGGACAGAGCCTACAAAAGCCTGAGCCAGAAATGATTACATGAGGCTAAAAAGACCTGTTTGTTTCTCTGTGTATGAGCTGAGGTCTAATGGAGAACTGAGGTACATTTTAAGCAACATACGTTACTAGCAACATACATAACTGATCCTTATTCATTCAAATATTATTTTTCCTTATTGCAACTAAGTGGAAAAGAAAAAAAAGCAAAGAAGGCAAATTATGTATGACTGAACAGTGAGCTCCTTTCCCTTGTACTCTGCCGAGGAATCGCATAGACTTATTTATACTGTACTCAGCTCAGGTTCACGCTCAACGCATCTGTCCTAGCCAGGCACCATCACAAATGGTATACTCAAAATTCTAGACATTCAGGAATTATCTCCAAACAATGTATACTGCCTTACACCCAACCCAGTAAAAAGGCAGAAGAAATTCTGAGAGTGCTGTGATGCAGCATGAACGCCTGAGCCCGCAAGCCGAACCTCGCTGGGATCTCTGCTCATGGGTAGCACATGCGCACACCACACAGCCCCCCATGCAGGCCGCCCCTCAACACAGGTCCACACACCTACGCCCTTCTCGTGTGAATGGCACCTGCGCCGCCCACATCCTCCTTCGGGGAGATCATTATGGAACCCTTTGCTTGGGTTCTCCTGAGTTTGCGCCTGCCTGAGTCGCTTCGGCTGTGAGGCTGTGAAGAGGGGGCCGGCCGGTTTCCCAAGCCAGGCCATCCACATCTCATCTTCCAGTAGCCGCTTTGTCAACTGGCTCTTGTGTGACACAGCAAATAGAAGGAGACCCAGCTTTTTAAGAAACTGCACTTACTCTTTTAGTGATAAGGTCAGAAAGGTGCTGGTAAACCAAATGTATCAAAGACAAAACCAGCAGGAAAGGGTATAGACCATTTGGGTTGAAGAATTGTCACTGTGGAATACTCTTTGGTTTCTGTGTACCAGGCTATGTGCAGGAGTTCATGGCCAGCCTACCTCAAACGTGTTCTTCGTCATACCGGACAGCCCATAATACGATGTCCCCGTGGCAACGGCACACACACAGAGCTCCCCAATCTCGTCTGTTCTGCACAACTGGGGGATGCCATCCGGCTTCACCGAACACATGATGGCTGAAAGCAAACCCGGGAGACACAGAGAATGTGGGAGAGGGATTAATGCACACATGAATATGCAGGAAGCTGCAAATAGAAGCAGTATCTGGAAGGAAACCAAGGATCACACACAGTCAGGTACCCATTCTCCCTAAACCAAGTCATGATGTCTCACGCTATAGCAGGATGTCAGGTTCCACTGTTGTGACATCGATCATTTCAACTGCTTTAATTTTAATTGTAAATTGTATTTAAAGGGAACAACATACTTGCCATTTAGGTACAAAGAACACAAATATCACCAGCAAAATCTCTGCCATACACACAGTGTTGGCACACCAGCGTCCTGCATACCACCATCAATCACAAGTGTGACTGGCAAACCAGGAGCCTGGGGTCTGAGAGGTGGCAGAAAGAGCCAGAGACCATCCCAGGTTGGAGTGAAGGCTCGAAGAAGTACAGCCAGAGGAAACATGAAAAGTTCAAAGTTAACTTGACTCACAGTAAGGAAAGTTCACATCAGAACTGCACAGAACTATTCACCGATCAGATTAATGAAAATAAAAAAGGCTGACAACACACCATCCACCATGGCAGGAATATACATCCTCATGGACTTTCTGAAAGACTAACAGAGTATTAACAGAAAGTTGTGGGCATCTTGCATTGAAGTAAACTCCCACACCTTACACAGATAGGGTTCCTCACCATATCAGGCAAAAGCCAAGTGTGAAGCTCACCCAAAAGTGGAGGGTATAAATTATTAAATATGTATTCAAACCTTACAACTCCACATCACTACAAAAGAACACATTCTTTATGTGCTAAGAAACTCAAAGATACAAAACATGAAGGTTATTGCTCTATAATTATGTGAATAACAGACAACAACAACAAAAAAAGCCACCCAAGAAAGGACACAAACACACATCCATGAAGGGTGTGCGTTCCTTTCTAGGTACTGAAAGGAAACCCGAGGCCTGTGGATCACTCAAGTGGAAAAAGGGAATGTTCTCTCTGTGAATCTTTGGATGCTTCCACCATGGGGATCTATTTATTTGAAAGCTAGTTATTAAGGAAAACTAAAAGAAAGAAAGGCAGGAAGAAATGGAGCCAGGATGTCCTGGCCTACTCTACTGTGACACAGAGTCTGAAGGAATCTGAAGGTGTCCACAAAGTTTTAGGAACTGCACGGGATTCCAATGTCTGCTTTTGTTTCCTTTATGCTCTACCCGGGGCAGCAGAAAGGCCAGACCCCTTCTGGCGAGAGCTCAGCCTACCTTGTCATGGATTCAGGCAGAGGAAATCTACCTGAGATGCCACGAGGCACCCTGGGCCGCCTTGGAGAGCTCTTGGTCACCCTGTGTGTCGTGAGTGCTGGTTGCACAGTGAGATGTTCACATGAGACCTGCCGACTTTATTTGGAGGTGCCCCGTGGGGCTCCAAGAAGGAAATACAGATCCAGTGGGAAGGGGCCTGGGCTCCCATCTTAGACAATAAATAGCAGGGAGCCTACATGCTACCATGTGTGGTCCTGCAAGAACTGGAAGAGCATGCAGGCTGGACACCCAGGCGGGCACAGCGGGACGAGAATCCTATGACTGGGGGTTGTCTCTGATCATTTGTGGAAATTGTTTATGTGTGTTTATTATAAGAGGGCCATCTCATGAGTCACACAGACTTGTGTTCCTCAGTCTGCACACACAGGGCAAGTGTGGCTCAGAAGCCTATGGTGCCTTTGGGGAAGTTGGATGGGGGTAGTCAGCTCTGGAGTGGCAGCGGGGAGGCTGCCTTGGCCAGTGTGGGTGCAGAGCCAGCCCGCCACAATTCCCTCCTGGGATGAAGGTTCCAGAATGCCCAAATGCCCCTCCAGCTGCTCAGATAGTTTCCATTTTCTGTTCTCAGGAGAGTATTGCCTTAAGCATTTGAAGCTTAAGGAGGAGAGTTCTGAGCCCTAGGAAGTCAGGTGGGTGCAGTGAGGAGCGCACTCACCTCCAGGCATGACGAGGCCCACATCCTGCACTGTAAGCACTGAGAGCTTCTCCTCAGAGTCCACACGGATCACACCATATGTCAGCCCGTGCATGGACAGCACACCCCGGCCTGGTGGCTGGTTGCTGTCATCCGTGGGCCTGAAAGCAAAGCTTCAGTTGAGTGTGCGTCAACAGAGGTCGATCTGCCCACAGACTTCATGAGGTCTGCCCTGAGACCCCATCCCAAGGACAGTGCCAGCTGCTGCTGGTATGGGGGGAGGGAGGAGGGCAGGGGTACTTGTCTGTGCTCTGGGCCCTGTTAGGTCTGAATCTGAGCTTGCTGATCCAACCTTGGGGCTCCCTGGGCAGGTTCTATAACCTCAGAACAGAAAGAAAGCTCCCTGTGTCCTCCTGGCTCTCCCGCAGGACACCTGCCACAGACCAATGGGCCTGCTCATCCCTACCCCACTCCTGCTTTTCACAGGGCATGATTTTCTAGTCTTGCAAAGGGCTAAGAAGAAGGGACAATCCTAAGGCTACAGATGAGTGAGCAGAGATAACAGAAATCCTGCCTGTCCGGCCTTACTTGCGATGTGCACTGTCTAGGTTTAGGCTCCATTTTCTGAGTCCTTCTAAACTGAGATTACACCATGGCACTCTGGTGTTGAGGGTGAAGGGAGACTATCTGGGGGCAGCGCTTCATCCTGAGGGCAGCGCTCTGGAGGGAGGTGCGAGTTGCAGATAAAGCACAGTTCTGTGAACATGGCGCACCATCGTCTCCCTGCATGCAGAGGCTGCAGGGGTCCCGACCTCCCCAACTGCCCCACCCACTCCTCCCTCCAGCGCCCCAGATCATTCCCACTGGGAGCCTCTGTTTTGGCTTCTCCCTTTACCCAGAATGTTCCCTCTGCAAACATCCACAGAGCCTGCCCTCCTCTGGCCCCCTTCACTGAAGCTGGCTCAGTAATGGGACTTCCCATCTCCTCACAGAAATGCACCTGCCCAGCACACCTGTCTCCACATCCTGCACTCTCAGACTGTGTGAAAGGCCTCCTCTGTCAGTCTAACCTCCTGGGGAGCAGGCACTTAGTTGATGTCCAGCCATGTCCATCCCTGGAACCACACCTAGTGCTAAATATCTGTTGGCTAAACTGGTATTGGTGAATGAATAAAAATATTTCTAAAACCACAGCTTTTGTCTCTGATGTCTGAAGATTCCATGTGCAGCTAAGCGAGAGGCTACAATTTAGGAAAACATAGTATTTGTTTCTACAACTTTCTATGTATAAATTTTTAATGTGGTTTTAAGATCTTAAAGTTGGACTATAAATGTGAGTTTCCTGTTTAACATTAATGCATGAAAGGGTTTATAATAAGTCTCAAGACATAACTAGGGCAATATAAAACCTAAAACGTACAAGAGAAGATCTTGTTTGAATAATGTACTGAAAACACAGAAGTAAAAATAACAGTTACTCTATCTACAGGAACTAAAACAGGTGGAGTTAACCAGAGATAAATGTCTGCCTAAATAATAAAAACGTAAGAAAGCCTGGATGTGATGAGCTCAAACTGTCTATTATCCTTCTGGCCTTTGCTTTCCCAAAGACTCTCAACAAATCAAAACTCTAAAAACAAAAAGTTCTCATTTCTCTGCCTATCACAACAGTCCTCCAGAGATTCAAGATGAAAGTCAGAAATTATAAGCTGTAGGCGAAATGATCTCCCTGCCTTAGTACCCAAGATGTGATCTTACTTGTAAATAGGCCCCTTATAGATGCAAGAAGGCAAGACCGGTGGACCTTTCCAATACTGGTGTCCTCGTGAGAAGAGGGGCACACAGACACTAGGATGTCAGAGGCAGACAGGAGTCTAAGTCAAGGCAGGCTGAGGCCGCTGGAGTGGGGCTCAGAGCAGATCTCTCCTCCCTTTCAGAAGGAACCAACCCTGTCAATACCAACTGTGGACGTCAGCCACCAGAATGAGAGCATAAACTTATGTTCTTTAAAATTAGCTTGTGGTTATTTGTTATGATAGCCTGAGGAATTTTATATACGATCTTAACAAATACATGCTTATTAATTTGCAGATAATTTAGAGTTGGACTTACTCATTTAAAAATCTGCACATTAGCAAAATCTTGTAGTGGCCATGACTATCCCAGGTTCCAGAAGATTCTGGAAACAGTATGTGGTAGCTAGAAGTTCTGCAGACTAAGAGCCAGGAAGACAGTCCTCTTTTAGGATCTAATCATGTGACCTTTGTTACCTTAATTATGAGAGCCTCCTTTTTATATCTAACAATAGTTGAGAAGTTAAACCTGCAAATTTAACATCTGGAGTTCATAAACGGTGTTTGTGATAGGAAATTTTGTATTATGTTTATAAGATGAGAATTATGAGGATGGAATGTATTCATACGGCATGTAAATGAAGGATACTAACCTTTTGGTTATTTAATCTACCACTATACATTCATGTTTAATAGACTGCCTTGAGAGTCAGGAAACTCAAGCAATCCCAGGGGCCTTTTCTCTCAGAGGTGCAAGGCACACTTGCAAAGGCAGGTGGGCAGGCATTTGCAGCCCTGGACCCAAAGGCAGGGCAAAGGCAGAGTCCACGTCAGCCCCACAGCCCACCATCTCCCTCCCAGACATTTTCCTGCTCCAGACCAAGGACCCCCTGCACACCTTGGTTCATGACAGCTTTTAACGAAAATACAAAAGCACATGGTTTGAGTCACACAGCCTACATTCTTTGCACAAACAAAGCAACTATTAGGGCAAAAAGAGCCAAGGCCCTATTTCTGTCCCACCTGCCTTGCAATCCTGTCCCTGTCCTAACAGCAATCTGTCAACCTCTCCTATGAGAAGCCTCGGTGTTGGACATGCAGCCTCATATTGACTACATACATAAACAAATACTTGAGTTTTTAAAGACAGCCAGAATGACAATATGCATATTCTTCTGCAACTTGCTGTTTTCACCAAATACATCTGCATGTCTTTCCATGTGAATCTGTGTGTTTGCACAAATAGGGTGTGTATGTGCAGACAGACACCTATGAATTCAACTGTCTTAACTATTACACAGTGTACAACGATGCAAGCAGATGATCATTTATTTCACTTAATTTTCATGCAGCGGGAAACCTTTCTAGCTATACCTGTGCAAAGACAACCAAAGAATCAAAACCCGTCTATGCTGGAGGAAGCCTCCAGGCAGCCAACACTAATCATCAAACTTTAACACTTCCCCCAACTTGGTAAGGAAACATTTCTCATTGTCTCAGTCTGTGTTGCCTAGAGAATTAACCCAGTTAGGGTATCTTTCTTTCTCCTTTACTGTTTCTTTAGGAAATCAAAATTCTAAAGAGATAGACCAAAGAGGGCAAGTAAAAAATACTGATGAGCAGAACTCGTGGAGATCAGAAACATTTAATAATTAATAACAGTAGATTAAGCACTGGCTGTCAACGACAGAGACTCATTTGTCAATTTCCAGAGTCAGCTTTGAGATGGAACGATCCTATGATGACTGGCGCAGTTCCGCATTTCTCACAAAGAATGAGTTACGAGAAGAATCAGTTCAGCAATTTCCAGGGATGTACACTGGCAGTTTCTATCCTTAGAGACAGAAGGAGGAAAATGCACAGCTACGTGCCTGTGCTGGACACATGAGGGGTGTACCCCAAGACAACTGACTGGAGCCACAGGGTGTATGCCACTTCAAGTTATTATTTGGTAACCCCCACCACCACCATTTCCAATCTCTGTAAAACAGTTGAAACATCTTCAGCGAACCTTGTGATGCAAAACCTGAAGAAACGACGACGATGAATGTCAATGAACACATCTACAGTGTGCTCCTCCTGACTGCAGGCCAAGCCTGGCTGGGCACAGTGCGCACTCACACAGCTCAAAGAGAGTCAGGCAAGTAACGTGCAGTGTGATGATCTCCGTCCCGGAGCCTCGACTGTGGTTACCCTTGCAGGGCTTTGAAGCCATCCGTCATTCACCGAATCCTTTTGCAGGCGGGAAGGCAAAGAAAGGTCTTCCATTCCTTCCACCTCCAATTCAAGTATGTGCTCTCAGCTTAGGGACAACGGTGCATTTGGAGAGCAAACAGGGGAAGCTGCCCTTTCCTCCTCTCCTCCTCTGCTGTGCCCACTGGTGTTCGCTTGCATCACAGAACGTCATTACCGAACGTGCACAGTAATGACAGAAAGGGTCTTCACTGTAGCGGTCACAGACATGCACGTAATACTGTAATCAAGTTCTCCCCTTTATTGCTGTTTCTGAACCCTTTCCTTTTTTAAGTTTTTAGTGGGTTTCACTGTGAAGATACATAAATACCTCCCTATCCCCTTGTCCCTTGGCCCTCTTCCCTTACAACCCCCTCTCAGATGTACTTAAAGCACTGTATGCAGATGAAGCCATTCCATGCTTCCAGAGGCTTATGGTGTACCGTTGGCTGAATCCCCACAGTACAGATGTAGCTTGGAGTCCTGATCGCTCAACACAGCCTAGTCTCAAGCCAACATGAGAAAAGCTGGGAGAGGCATCCAGGGTGACAAACGACAAAGCACCCTGTGCGAACACAGAGAGGGCAAGGTGGGTACCATCCCTAGGACTGAGTAGCACACCAGAGCCCCTTGTCTGACTAGCTTACTGTTTAGACTTTGGACTTTCCTTTCTTGATGAATATACTATTTATATATGGCTTATTCTCTTATGGTCAAAAGCTAGATGGCATTACAATAACTTTTTTGCAAATTTCATTGTTTCCCTTGTCAATACTTTCCATCCTTAACAAGTAAAGTATAGGCTAGAGCCAGAAAGAACTGGGGCCACCATTGATTTTCTGGTACTAAGGTTTGAACTTGGGGTCTTATGATTGCTAGGTAGAAGATCTCCCAAGCTCCTAGAATCAAGAAAAACTTGCAAGAACAATATATCTTAAATGTAAGTGGTCAGGACAGCTCGAACAGGGAGATGCCACCTCTGTTCCTCAGCACCACATGAAGCCACGCTCTCATTCGGTCATTCTCATCCCAGAACCACTTTATGGTCAGAGAAGCTTAAAGATTTTATCTAAACTTCAGATAAAATTACAAAGTTTTCCCAGTGCCAGTGGCTCCAGCCTTTTATCTTAGCTACT